ATATCCTAAAATTTCCAAAGATATTCTAAATATATTCATTACCACACAACCAAACCAAAAATAATCCACCCTTTTTCACATGTTGTCTCTCAACAGTGGGGAGAACACTTATATACTATGAAATCCAACTCAAAACATCTTTTTTATGTGAACTCCCTACCCTAGAAAATCAGGAAGAAAGTTTTCTCACACCCCTAGAATTAGTCCTTCACAATTTCTTTTACTCTAGCCAAACTTCTGCTAGCTGGAGGAAAAACACCTTTAACTTCCACATGGTAACTACATATCATACAATGCAAATTCACAATCACAGCCACAATATCAAAGCAATGGCAATGATATTGACAACAAAGAAGATGCCAAAGGCAGTTGCAACTATCCAACTTGCATCTTCGCTCATGTTTCACAAAGAGCACTAAAAGACTAAGATAATTACACAACTAAAGTGGGGTTCGAACCTCTGCGACGGAATTTAGGTCTTCCTGTTTTGCCCGGAATGCGAGAGGCGCGGGCTAGCGCAGTAGGGATGAGGTAAGCGATCGATCCATCGGGAGTATGCCATCGCCAGGGCGCCGAGCAAGATGATGAAGGATGAGGACACCGAGAGCAGCACTAGCACCAATAGCAATAGCAACAGCGCCTCTTCTCTGGACAGGCCAATCGATCGCCCGGCGGTGATTAGGAGCGGGAAAAGCTGCACTGGATGCTTGTATCACTCGAGCTATCGCAAGGAGAATGGCCGGAATCCACTGTGTGTGGGGTTGTCGCGCTCCGAGAAGCAAGGTGAGTGAGAGCTTATTTCCAGCGACTTATCTCCTCCTTGTTTTGTTCTTCCAGCTTACAAGGGAAATAATCCTCACTTAGAAGCGCTCAACGATGAGAAGAGACTCTTTGAGTTTAAGTACGCGTGTCTTGGATACTCCGTGTACAAGCAAAGCACTCCTGCTGGAGCTGGCCAGGATAGACGGGTTGAATTGCCTGCTTGCCTGGGAATTGAGGTGAGTTTTGTTTGGCTTTGTTCTTCTTTCTCTTCCTCACGAGTTTTCGTGCCATAGATGCAACTCTTGGATCCCAGAAAAGCTCCACAGCATGCTCATCAAACAGTTCCTGGACAAATGCCGGGCCAACTTTCGGACCAAGCCGATGCTCACGAAGGTCAGGAAAGGAGAAACGTTTCGTGCTGAGAGACTGATTCTTGCGTTTTTCTTCCGTTGTTGTCACAGGTCCTCGTGTAGCAGTACCACAGACTCCTCCTCCTCCTCCTCCCAGCCACCGTCCTCAAATTGCTGGACCAACTCGGAGCGATGAATTTGCGACGAGGTTAGCACTGGATATTTGCTCTTCTCGTTTCGATCGGCAAAACTTCTCTTTTTCCTCGCAGGTTTTTCCGAACCGCGGGATTGATAGCAACAGCCGTTGGACACAACTTGTCAAGAGTGGCCGGATCCATCAAGACGGGCCTGGACGACATCTTCTATCCGGATCGTCGCCGGCCAAAGTGATCCCAAAGTGATCCAGCGACGAACCTCGCCATTGCTCGCTCGATAGCAGTACAAATCGAAAGAGATAAGTGAAATCAAAAAGCCTTTCGTTTTCACAGGCCCACTCTCTTGCTCGTTCCAGGAAGTAATAGAACACCATAGTTGCGAGCCTCCCAAAAGGTGGCGCATATGCCCATTCTGGGCATATGTCCCACATATTCTATGCCCGCCGTACCGGTACGGTATGGCTGTCCAAGTAGCTCAATCCCCATAACTGAGAAAATCCAAAATGCCTAGGTAGCGCTCGCGCTACAGTCGCGTATCTCTCTCCATCGAACAAAAGGGCTCCATTCTCACTCTCTCCCTGGAGGGCTGGAGGAGCGATCTATCTACAAAGGTAGTGTTCTTCGATTTCCATTCCTTCTTTTTCTCTTAAATACTTTCTCTTGGTTCCTGATGAGCACTCTCTTTTTGTCTCCAAATCCAGAGCTCGGGGTCATGGAATTCGCGAAGATCACACTCGGCTGGAACTATGTGAGTTTGTAGACAGGACGAATCGAGGAGTAGCTAGGGTATCAGTTTTCCAGAGAGTGGAAGGTGAAAGAATCCATCCTTGGAGATGAAGAGGGCAGGCTCGGATGGGTGTAGCCAGGAGGAATTGGAATCGGTGGAGGTGGTCTCCATGGATTTGGAGCCCGGTTCCAGCGACCAACTTGGCCACGATCACCACCACCACCACCATCAAGTCTATCACCACCACCAAGCTTCTCACTCCCACGTCTTTCATGGCGGAGGAAACCCGCAAGGAGAGAATGCGGGAGACGTTCTTCCTCTCGTGAGAAGCCCCGAGAAGCGGAAGATCTCTAGTGCTAGCAGCAGCTCTGGACAGGATCGAGGGACTTGCAGCCGGTGTAGCGCGCAGCTCTACCAGGACGAGGACGAACAGGTAGAAGAAGAGGCTGTGGAAGAACAGGATAGAGGACGGAGAGTCCACAAGCGCGAGCGCGTGGAGCTCGGCCGGAGCTTCCAGCAGGCGGTGAGCGCTCACAGCTGGGATCTGGCCGAGAGTTACATCCAGCGCGCCGACACGCAGCGGCTCAACGATGGGCTTTGCATCGCGCTCGACTCGGTGTGGTTTCTAAGCACGCAGGAGGAGCTCTCGGGGGCTACTCGGCTGATCGAGAAGATCATCCGGGCCGGCGCGAATGACTACACTCGGGCAACTTTGAGAACGTCGTTCCTGGCGTCGTGCGTCTCGGCGTGTAGGAGCCGGACGATGAGCTTGGCCGACACGGTCACAGTTATGGCACAAAGGTAAGCTGTCGTGCTCTTCTCCAGCGTGGTGTTCTTCTTCTCGATTGTTTTCGATAGTTTCCTCTTCCCGAGAGCTTCTCGTTCTTCTTCTCGATAGTTTTTCGATAGTTTCTTTTCCCGAGAGCTTCTCCAAGGTCTCGATAGTTTTTGATAGTTTCCTTTCTTCTCCAAGGTGGTGTTCTTCTTCTCGACAGTTTCTTAGCATTTAGCCTGTGATTTAACGTTCGTTTCGTGCGTAGATTGCGAGACAGGCTCCAGGAGTGTAATGGTGACGAAGAACTCAAGGCCGAGGCGGCGGCCAAGGTGCAGAGATTCACCGAGTGGGCGCTGCGATGCATCGGCTCGCACTCGCGGGGCAAAGCCACGCAGGGTGCCGAGTACAACAAGATCATCCAGAACTCGATGCACGAGTCGCGGCTCCAGCTCATGGCGTTCAAGCACTTCCTGGGCCTCGCGGGTGGCAACCTGAGCGGCAAGGACTACACCGAGGCGTTCGACGCGGCGTGCTTCCCACTGACGCTCTTCTCGAGCGCCATCGATCCGGGCTGGGCCACTGGCATCGCCGCCAGCGCCATGCAAGGACTGCTGGGGCTGCTGCTCGAGGGTGGCGCCGATAACGTCAACCAGTGCTTCCTCGAGGCTGCCCGGTTTGGGAGCACGGAGCTCGTGCGAATCCTCCTCCAGGTAAACCATTCTCTCTCTAGCTCTCTCTGATCGATCATCTTGTTCTTTAGCTCTTCTCTCTCCTCTTCGTGATCGATAGTCATCCTAGCTCTTCTCTCTCTATGTGATTCATCTTGTTCTCTAGCTCTTCTTCTTCTTCTCTCTCTCTCTGATTGATCGATCATCTTGTTCTTTAGCTCTTCTCTCTCCTCTGATCGATCGTCAAGCTCCTCTCTCTCTCTCTCTCTCTGTGATTCATCTTGTTCTCTAGCTCTTCTTCTCTCTCTCTCATCGATCGATCATCTTGTTCTTTAGCTCTTCTCTCTCTTCTCTTCGTATTCGATCGATCGTCTTGTTCTTAGCTCTCCTCTCTTTTCTTCGTGATTCGATCATCTGTGTGTGTGTGTTGTTTAGCTCTTGTTTGTGGAGATCAAGTGACAAACAATGGTTTTCTTCCTTGTTCTTCCACAGATAGCCCAGCGAAATAGCGTGGAGCTGGACGTGGACTTGGCCCTGGGATTCGCCTCCCACTACTGCAAGCTCGGCACCATGGAGTGCCTCGTCCACGAAGGCAGCGCCACCTCCTTCCTCGGCCCCTTGATGCGAGCCGCGGAGCGAGGATCCCTCGAGGTGGTAGAATGGTTCGTCACCCGCGGCTGCAAAGACATGGAGCTCTGCCTCGCTCTCACGGCCGCCGCCTCCAGCAGCCGGATCGACGCCGCGGCATACCTCCTCGACCACGTCCCAGCCCACGTCCTCGACACTCTGAGCGGGGAGATCCTCAAGGCCGCCGGAGAACGCAGCGCGGGATCGCTCAAGGGCATCGCGTTTCTCCTCCACGCCGATTTCCTGGGCAATCCCGACGAGACGTACCGCGTGGCCGACGCCATCGCCACCGCCGCCGAGGAGGAGGGGGTGACGCTCGAGCTGCGGGATTTCCTGGCTGAGGAGTGGTCGCTTGCAGCATTTGCCGCGGGGCGGCAAATTGGGGCCCGGCACCACGTCAACTTTATGCGCGCGCTCAAGCGTGGGTCGTCGCCGCTCAGCCTCCAGGACTTGCCGCTCCAGCTCCAGGCGACGGTGGCGTATTTGCCGCTCTACAAGGAGTGTGTGTCGTGCGCCGGAGTGTTGCTGTCGCAGAGACTGCGGGGGCAGCTTGTGGAGGCTGTGAGTCGGCTCAAGGTGGCGGTGAGTGGTGGCGGTGGCGGTGGCGGTCTGGAAGGGGAGGAGGAGGTGGCGAAGTGGAGCAAAAGAGCACTGATTAGAGCGCTTGAGAGGAGGCTGCCACCGGCATTCGTACGGAGATGATTCGGAGCTTGAGCTTGACATGTATTACTTATTCTTTTTACATGAGAATGCAGATTACCTCGTAGAAAATAGCGAATCCATATGGCACTACTTATTTTCTTAGCATTTTCATTCATTTAACCTGTAGTTTGGGAATTAAACTTATGATATTTATCCCAAGATCCAGAGGGAAGCTTACCTGGGAAGCCTGACCCATGCCTCGGTCTTCACAATATCAGGGAAATCTCACACGTCATGGTGTTTCAAGCGCAAGCCATTCTCTCAAACAAAAGCTTGGTGCCCAGACAGCACATATACCGCTACTGCGACATTCCAGGATACCACATCTTTGTCCGGCATCTCGTCAAAATTTCAGTATGCTGACATCAAAGAGTTCTACGAGATTCTATATCACTGCATATGCCGAACGAGGGCATGTATGCGAAGCAAAGTGCTTGTTTGACACTGTAGAAGTTCTAAAGGAACTGCATGATCGGAGCGTACGGGCAAAATGGACACTTGGACGATGCTTGGCATTGTTTAGATGCTGTTTACAGCCAAACATCATGAGTAGGACCATTCTTATTGTATCGTTTGCCCAGAATCTACTGTGTCCATTCAGCTCTTTAAAGTCTTGAATCTCAAGAGTTTCATGGGCCTTTTGATGGCTTGCTGCCACCTTGGGCTGGTAATGCCTGCTAGAGACGCTTTGGCTCCAATGGTTTCTGACTATGATCTAAGTCCCAAGTGAGATCACTATGCTGCTTGATAGGTGTTTTTGTGGGCTCTTGGATGATGCCGAGGAGATCATAAGTATAATGCTATTTGTTTCCAACTGGGAATGCTTCGTGAGTGCCTGCAAGATCCACACTGTTGAAGTTGAAAGGAGGGTTAGTGTTGCTCGCAATTCCATCGTGCTAAATATTATTCTGTTTAAACGGGATTAAATCGAAACTTCGTACCGTGAAGCCATTCCAGTCGCTTGGACACTCGAGTGGTCAAAATGGTGAAAGTGAACTGAAGAGCGTGTCTCCTGATAGAGCACATAAGCACACCCACGAGTTTGACGAAAATTTCATTGCCTTTGGCTACAGGCAGGTGAATACAAGAGGGCGCTCGTCCTGTAAGTGGATATACACACTTGGATGATGCTGAGGAGATCATAAGTATAATGCTATTTGTTTCCAACTGGGATGCTTCGTGAGTGCCTGTAAGATCCACTCTGTTGAAGTTGAAAGGAGTGTTAGTGTTCCATCGTGATAAATATTATTCTGTTTTTATTATTTATTTATAATGGATCCTATATATCATGTGGATATTGAAATCTGTGCCACCAACTTAATTCACTACACTTAAAAGTAACAATGTGATTCCTAAAGTTAATAATTGCCACATTCTTATAAAGCCAATCTTCCCTAAGAACTAAAAACTTTCCAAAACTTATATAAATTTTCAATTCCATACCCTTCTTTCAGCTGATCATTTGCATTTGGCCTCATTACACTTGTGATTGTGAGCTGTAGGGAGCTTAAGTTTTTTTACTAGATCAAGTGATATGCCTAACCATTATCTATGATTTTGTAGTCATCAATTCTCCTTACATCATAAAGGGTATTACATATATGCTGATTGATCCTTCCTAACCTTCTTGACCAAGATAAATTAGTGAGACAGTATACAATATTATTCATGTCAAAGATTATTTTACTTTTATTTCCATTGCAATCCAATTTAGGTAGTGTTGTTGCATCTAGGGTGAATTTAATACTATATCATGACTTAAAATGAGTGATAACTTAGTCAGAGTCTCTTTAAATTCATAACCCTGTATTGTGAATAATTCACAAATCCCAAAAAAACTTCAATCGTTTTTACAAATCCAAAATCTTTAAACTAACTCTTCATAAGGCTGATAAACTTTTTTATATTGATCCTTTTTAAACTCCTTGAGAATATTTTGTCAAAGAATGCAAGCTGATAATTTTTAACAAAAGGAATTTGATAAACAACCAAACAAATGGGATTTTGCTAAAAAAACTACCCCATTTGAGGTTAAAGGTTTTAAAAGCCTTAAAGGTTCTCATAAGGAATTAAAAACATTTATAAACTCAAATCTATCTTAAATCAAATAAATCTTGCTGATATCTCAAACGATCCATCAAAACTTCCTTTTTGAAAAGTTTCTTCTTTGTTCATGGGCTCTCTCTCGACACTTCAATCCCACTTCCAGCACAGGGAAGTTCTAATCATCTATCTCGCCCGCAAGATCGCACTCCTCGGAGTCACTGTGACCACGAAACTTTGCAGCAATCCTGGAAGAGCCGAGGACAATCCTGTGAATAATGGGCACGAGATTCGCCTCGAGTCCATCTCTATCGACTTGCGAGTTCCCAATGGCTTCCATGAGAAGAACTTCGACGCGCAGGCCGCCTTTTCTCAGGCCATCTTCCGAATGGAGGATCCACTCGCGGAGCTCTTGTCCCGGATCGATCGAGACGGCCCCAGAGTCGCGTGTGTCGTCTCGACTTTTACCATCTCAGTGCTCCACACGCTGCAAAGAACGCAGGATTGGGCTTTTGGCCGGGAAATGCTGCTTGGGCTGCCATCGAATTCCACGTTCCAAAGCTCCTGGAGATGGGAGAGGTTCCTGTCAAAGGTAAAGCTTCGACCGATCTAGAAGTGTGTGCTAAGAAAACATGGAAGTTCTCAAGCTTGTGATTGCCAGAGGGAGTTGACAAGCTGATTTCTTACATCCCTGGAATGCAGCTAAGATCGCAAGACATTCCACTTTTCATGCATGACAGAGACTTCCAGAAAGTCGGGGAGTCACGAGATGTAACGACTACGCAATCGCCCAATCTTTTCTCCTGGACGATCATGTTCCTGAATGGGGATCTCGCTCGGGCAATTGATTTCTTCGCGGGGATGCTGCTAAAAAACGCTGTCGCGGCAACGATCATGATCGTCACCTATGGCCAAGAGGGCGACGTGGATTCCGCTAAGATGGTTTTCGATCGCGCCTTGCCTAAGAATCTCGTTTGCTGTATGTGATGCTCACAGCATATGCCCAGAACGGGCATTTGCATAAACCAAAGCTTCTCTTTGATATTAAATACAATATTATGCCAAAAAGGGTAACTTGATAGATGCCAGATGATAGTTACAGTCTTTAAATCATCTCACACGCATGAGTGACTATTTTCGGCAGAGGCAAGCATTTCAAGAGCTTTGCCAAGTAAGTTGTCTAACTTTCATTTTATTGTCTTCAGTTCTGGACTTTCATTTCATGCAAGCATATTTACAAACTCTCAAGATGGTGCCAGAGTTAATATTGTGTATATCTCAAAGGATCAATATAAAGGGTTTAAATTGCAAAAAGAGTTAATTTTTTATATTTTGGATTAAAAAGAAAGATTGACGTCTTTTTTGGAACCTCTCACAAAGCAGCTACCTTTTGTGGAACTTCTATATAAGAGTTCCAAGAATTAGGGTTTGATAGGATTCTCATGGCTCATAGCAAAGAATTAGTTGTAGAACTCCCAAGGGTAATGAAAGTGGAGAAGATTTTATTGTCTTCCAACACCAACAATTTAGAGTGTGAAGTATTTGGGAAAGAGGACCAAGATGGAGAGTGGAAGTTTTTGGGTAAAACAGGTCGAGAAGCAAGATTCAAGCTCACCAAGCTGAGATTCATCCTTGTCAAACCTCTCTCTGGATTTGAGGTGTCTACAATTGTGAGTTTCTATGGCAAAGACAATGCCCAAATGCCCGTGGAGGAGTTTGAGTTGAAATACATCAATCCTCGAAAGGTGGACTATCAAAAACCTTTTAAAGTTGGCCAACTTTCCAAAGACACTCTTGTCACGAAAGCAATTATTCGATCCAACCTCCGGTATTACAAGTTCCAGTTGTGGGGCAACATAGAGTATCCCTGCCAGTGGTGGTTTCCACTGGGATACTTTGACCAGGACAAGCCCAACCCTAAAACGCGAGAGTTGACCATCAGATACTTTGATGTAAAGATCGAGGGGACGTTAACGCTAGTGCCTCAATGCAAACTGATAGTTTTTGACAGGACTTCCACTCATCACTCAGAGTGCGAGGAATTTGATCTACACAATCTTCAACAAACGAAGCAACCAAGCAAATTGAATTTTGCTAAAAGACTACCTAAATTGAGCTTAAAGGTTTTAAAAACCTTAAAGGTTTTTAAAGGGAATTATATAAACTCAAATCTATCTTAAATCAAATAAAATCTTTATAGCTCTAGTAATAAATTCAATTGTTGATTCAGAGTAGTCAGTTTTCGTTCAAGCCACAACGTAGAATTCTCACCACTAAACATTACCCCAATACTGGACTATATGGTTCCTATTGCAAATCAGAAATAATGAAAGGCAAGACGTAAAAGAAACAACAATGCCCAATTCAGCCCATAAGTGCTGGTAACTCAAACGATCCCTCAAAACTTCCTCTTTGAAAAGTTTCTTTTTTGTTTCTTGGTCTAATCATCATCCATGGGCTCTCTCTCGAAACTTCACGTTGTTCTTATCCCACTTCTAGCACAGGGACATGTCGTTCCAATCATCTATCTCGCCCGCAAGCTTGCGCTCCTCGGAGTCATCAACGCTGATAGCATCCACGAAACCTTGCAGCAATCCTGGAAGAGCGAGGACAATCCTGTGAATAATGGCCACGACATTCGCTTCGAGTTCATCTCTATGGACGTGTGACTTTCCAATGGCTTCGATGAGAAGAACTTCGACGCACAGGCCGCCTTCTCCCAGGCCATCTTCCGAATGGAGGATCCACTCGCGGAGCTCTTGTCCCGGATCGATCGAGACGGCCCCAGAGTCGCGTGTGTCGTCCCGGACTTTTACCATCTCAGTGCTCCACACGCTGCTTGTAGCAAACATGCCCGACCCGGGCATAGGCTGAGATTATGGCATTCAACCACACGCTGTCTTTACTGGGCATATGATCAGAAAGAGCCCGTGAATGGACAAGCTGAGAGTTTGGCAGTAGCCAAGGATCATGACAGTTATAAAGTAGACGCTGTGAAGGGCCATCTTTGACGCAGTATCGGAAATATGCCCGCTCTGGGCATTTGCTGCAACGAGGAATGACCACGAGTGGAGGCTCTTCTGGCGAATAGAGGCAGATGCGGAGGCAATGCTGCGGACATCCACTTGCCATCTCATATATCTTTGCCGAGGACAACTTCGCGGATTAGACGATGGAAGCAAGATACGATCATCATCATCATCATCATCATAGCGCCTTAAGAGCAGTCAGTCCTCTCGATCATGCAACAACACAGGCCTTACGTTGACGACAGGGTGGTGGTGGTGGTGGTGGTGGTGGTTGTGGTGTTTGACCGATCGAGCAGCAGCCCCAACTCGATCAACAGCGTGTGGATCCAGCGCCTCTTGCCCACGGCAGTTTCACTGGGTCATCCGCGAGAACATCGTAGACGAGGCATCCAGCGCGCTCACCACCGTGATCTCGTCGCCCTCCACGTCCATGGCGCGGTGGATCGCCAGCGCCTCCAGCAGCATCGCGTTCTACACCGAGATCATCGTCAGAGACGAGATTTTGCATCGATCGAAGACTCCCTGCTCCACGATGGCGCTGTGGAGGCGGCCGTAGGCGTAAATCAGCGAATTTGGCACGTAGACGTCCTCCCTATCGTGACCGCTGGCATCGCATGGATGGATCGCAGTTATAGATGGTCGGTAGTACTGTAGTGGTGATAGTTTACACAGCCAAGATATAATGATCTCGATCGCTTTAGATCATGCACGTCGTCCCAGCCAGGATTTTCCAGCACGATCAAGATTGGCAGCAGCAAAAGAAGCTCCTAATTGCAGCTCTTCAAGAATGCGCTGGCTTACAAGAAGGAAGGCAACTCCACGCACAGATTTCACAGTGCCACATCCTTCGCAGGGACCAGCTGCTGCTAAATCTCCTGATCAAGATGTACAGCGACTATGGCAGGATGGATCTGGCTCAATACATCTTTGAGAAAATGCCGCGGAGGAACGTTTTCTCTTGGAACATCATGTTCGTCGCATATGCCCATAATGGGCATCTTGAAAAGGCAGAGGTTCTCTTTGACAAGATGCCGTTAAGGGATGCCGTGTCATGGAACTCGATGATCCAGGCGCAAGCAAGAGCCGGCAATGGTGATCGTGCCTTCCAACTGTTCGTACTGATGGATCTCGACGGCATCAAACCCGATAGATTCGCCATCGCACCAGTGCTAAGCTGCTGCTCGAGCTTGGCGATGGCGGATCTCATGCACGCCGTTGCCCGCGACGGTGGGAGCGACGTGGGCTGCCAACACGTGGCGAACGAGCTGATGAAGATGTATGGTCGGCTCGGCAGACCTCGCCAAGCCCAAGAGATCTTCGATTCTCTCCGGGACGATGCCAGGGATGTGGTGGCCGCCGCGACGATGATCACGGCACTCGCCGACAATGGCAATCTACCACTAGCTCTAAATCTCTTCCATGGCACTCCCTATAGAAACACTACGATCTGGAACGCAATCGTCTCGGCATGCAATCGCAGTGGCAGATCCAAGCATGCGATTCTCCTGCTGTGCGCCATGGATCTGGAAGGCGATACTTCTTCCGCCGATGCCATCACCTTCGTGAGCGCGATCGAGGCGTGCTCGAGTTTGGAGGAGGTAAGGAGTGTGCATGAGAGCGCCGTCCAGGGAGGCAACGAGGCATTTCAAGCCATGGAAGTGAAAACAGCGCTGGTGGATTGCTATGGCAAACACAGTGGAGTGTTGGAAGCACGGATTGTCTTTGATAGCATTGATAATAGAGATGTAGTTGCCTGGACGGCAATGATAACCACATATGCTCGCAATGGGCATTGTAATTCGGCTTTGCAAATCTTCCAGAGAATGCAGCATGAAGGAGTGGAACCCAATACAGTGACTTTGAGCAGCGTTTTTCATGCCTGCGCTGACGCTGCAAGCCTCTCAGACACAAGGAAGATCCACAGCTCCATTTCCGGGCTCTCGATCGAGCTTGACACTGTTGTGTCCAATTCGCTCATGGACGCGTACCGGAGCTGTGGAGCGTTCCAGAGTGTTGCGGGTGTTTTCAAGAAAATGCCTGTGAGGAACGTTGTCTCGTGGAGCTCCATGGTTGCGGGATATGCCCAGTGTGGGTATAGCAGCGAGAGTCTGGCCGTGTTCCAAGAAATGGACTTGGAAGGCATGGCACCGAACGAGGTAACTTTTGTGAGTATCATCTCAGCGTGTAGTCACGGGGGACTGCTGGAAGATGGCAGGCTCTACTTCGTGAGGATGTTCCAGGACTATGGGATTCAGCCAGGGCTGGATCATTTTGCATGCTTGGCAGATTTGCTTGGAAGGACGGGAAAGGTGGAGGAAGCCAAGGAAATAGCTGCGTCCTACTCCTTGGATTTAAGTGACTTGAGGATCATCCAGCACTCTTGAGACACTGTTCTGAGTTTTTGCAAGAACATAATTGAAACACAGTTTCTTATAAAAACAAATTTTTTTTGAAACATCATCATTGTAAAGTATAAATTATTATAAAATAAATAAATAAATGATTTATTATTATATTTCTTAAAACATTTACAAAGTGTAGCCATTCATATAGAAATTAAGATTATTTTCTTCAATTTCAAAAATGCATAACTTTATTGATAATAATGATTTCAATTGTGATATGTAACTATAAGTATTATAAATTTTATTTTTTATCTGATTATGCTAGTAAAATATAATAATTTTTTCTACATATTTAATTAATATTGTATTATAATATTGTTCAAAACTCTTTTATAGCTTGGTTATGGGTTTCAATTAACTTTAATTTACATGTGGTATGGTATTTCCTCTTTGAAAATTATAATGTGATATAAAGTATTTTTTATATTTTCCAATATTGCACTGTCATTACAATGAAGCAATTAATAACCCTAATAGTGATTACATAAATTGCAATAGTGAATAATAATAGTTTTTCAATTTTAACTTAAAAAATATATTATTATGAGTAATAATTATAAAATATTATAAATGATATTATTAAACATTTTAATTCTTTTGTTAGTGAATATAAATAATCTAGTATTAAATAATTTACAAATGTTAATAATTTTATTTCTCAATCACAATTGCAATGCTGGACACATTCTACATTCTACTATTTCACTGGTGATATACTTTTAATTATAATGGTTTTATTTGTCCATTATTATTTGGTTTTATTATTAGTCAATAAAATGTAAAATTTCATATAAAATAGACATAATTACTTTAAATAAATACTAATCCTAAATATTATTTTCATTAAAGTTTTTTGTAAAAATTTAATTTCTCTTAAAATATTTAATAGTGATTTATCAAAAATTCATAATATTGATAATTTCAATAAATTTTATTCTTATAATTTTAACTTCATTTAAAAAAATTTAAATGGTAAATTAAATAGTTTAATTTACCTTTTAAATTTAGAAGACAAAATTATTTGTATGCATAAAATCTTTTAAAATGTTTTTAAACAGAAAATACTCAAACCTTAATTATAGTTAATTTTCTATATTATCTTTATAAATATTCATTGTCGAATTATCAATCCCTTTGAGCTTCTTAATATTTAATGTGTGGCTAGAGATACTAAATACATCACCCTTATATCTAAATATGTTCAATATAAATAGTTGAGTATAACAGTTGTTTTAAACACGAGTTTATATGTAATTCCACAGTTACATATGATAAAATCATGATCACATTTATTGACTGGTCACCCTCCAATCTTTCTGGGTACTCTATACCATAAAGCTCTTGACAAAGCTTGCATCACCAAATATGTTGAGTGTTGGATGATCCTCAAGTCACTTAAATGCAAGGAGTGATACTCTAAATAATCCATCCCTATACATACCAGGAGTCCCCGTGACTACATGCTGCAGATATGATACTCATCGTTTGGTGCCATGCCTTCCAAGTCCATTGCTTGGAACACGGCCAAACTTTCACTACTATACCCACACAGCAACCATGGAGCTCCACGAGACAAGGTTTCTCACAGGAAAACAAGCGAATTGGACACAACCTCGATCGAGAGCCTCGAAATGGAAGTGTGTGTCCAAGAGGCTTGCAGGCATGAAAACGCTGCTAAAAGTCACTGCAATGGGCTCAACTCCTTCATGCCTGGATCATCAAATTCCATGACACGGCATCCCTGAGTGGAGAGAATCTCTGCCCGTAGAAAATACCCGTTCTGGGCATATGCCAAGAATCAGCGGCATTCTTTCAAAGATATACTGAGCCAGATCGATCCTGCCATCAGCAGATTTAGCAACAGCTGGTCCCTGCGATGAAATCTGTGCGTGGAGTTGCCTTCCTTCTTGCAAGCCAGCGCATTCTTGTGCTGCTGATCTTGATCGTGCTGGGATAGAGCGATCGAGATCATTCATTTTTCCACAAAGTTAATATCTTTAAGTTCTAACCCTTGCATCATGCATGGTTTTTCCAAGATCGCCTAATTCATCCCTAGCCCGCCTAAACGATGCTCTCGCGTCGTCCAGCAAGGAAGACCACCACCACTACTCACAGCTCCTCCGCGACTGCTGCCGATCCAAATGCCTCCACGACGGCCAGCGTCTCCACGCGGAGATCCGAGCCAAGAATCTCGACACCGGCACTATACTTGGGAACTTTCTCGTCAAGATGTACGCAAGCACCGGCAGCATCGCCTTGGCATCTGCCGCATTCGACCACATTCGCCAGAAAAACCTCCACTCGTGGTCATTTCTCGTTTCAGCAAATGCCCATAGTGGGCATATTGTCGACGCGGCGTCAATCTTCCACAAGATGGCGCTTCACAGTGTTTACTCCACAACTGTGATGATCCTTGGATACTGCCAGAACTCCCAGCTGGTAGATGCAAGGTCTCTTTTCGATGATATGCCCAGTAGAGACTCTGTGTGTTGGAATGCCATAATCACGGCATATGCCCAGGCCGGGCATGTTTCCTACGCCATAGAAGTTTTCTACAAGACCCCTCTCCTGGATAGAATCTCGTGGAACTCTTTAATGTCAGCATATTGTCGAGCCGGTAAAACTTCCCAGGTAAAAAATATATTCGATGAGATGCCGGACAAGGATGTGGTATCTTGGAATGTTGCCGTAGCGGTATATGCCATGTCCGGGGATATTCGCAGTGCGAAGCTCTTGTTTGAGAGAATGGCTTGCGAGGATCTATTCTCTCGGAACACCATGATAAACGCCTATGCGCAAAACGGACATTATCAAGACGCTGCGAAGCTGTTTGAGTCGATGGAGGGGAAGAACACGGTGACTTGGAACACGATGATCCGAGCTTTCACTCAGTCCGGCGATCTGGAGCGCGCGCGAGGCTACTTCCATCGAATGCCGTCTGGTCGTGATCTAGTGTCCTGGACTTTGCTGCTGCAAACGTTTCCAGGGAGCGAGGAGAGCGATGGCCGGAGCGTCAAGGATGCGTTCTGGAAGATGCCCAGCCACGACAGTGTCTGCTGGACTGTGATGCTCGCGGCCTACGCGCAGAACGAGCACCAGGCCGGTGACGCGAAGATGGTCTTCGATCGAATGCCCAGGAGAGACGTCGTGTGCTGGACGAGCCTGATCACGGTTTGTGCTCGAGCCGAGCTCTTCGACTTGGCGAGAGCGGTGCTGGAGAGGATGCCCGGCTGTGATGCTCTCTCTTGGGCAGCTCTGGCTTACGGCTTCGCTCAAAAGGGACTGCTCGAGGAGTCGCGGGACGTCTTGGAAGCCATGCCGGAACTCGACTTGGTCGTGTACACGGTGGTGATGCAGGCTCACAGCTTGAGAGGCGAGATCGAGCAGACCAAGCGGATGTTTGACAGCCTCCCGGTTCGCAGCGCCGTCGTGTGGAACATGATGGCTACTTGCTTCGTCCACAATGGCTGCCAGAGAGAAGCTGTGGAGGTGTTCAAGTTGATGGACTTGGATGGCTTCCTTCCGGACGAGAGCTCCTTCTCCACGGCCTTGAACGCGTGTGGAAGCCTGTCACTGCTTGCCGAAGGAAAGAGGATCCACGTCGAAGCTGTAGAGACCGGCCTCGGCTGCAACACTGTGGTGGCCAGCGCGCTCCTGTCCATGTATAGCGAATGTGGAGCTCTTCCCACGGCCCGGAGTGTGTTTGATACCATGCCCCGGCCGAACGAAGTGACTTGGAACTCGATGATCGGAGCTTACGCTGCGAATGGTCATGGCCGAGAGGCACTGGAGCTGTTCCAAGCCATGAAGCTCGAGGGAGTGGACGTTACCAGCATAACTTTCGTCAATGTTCTCTCTGCGTGTAGCCACACCGCCAGTGCTGCGGCCGCGTCCGAGGCTTGGTTCTTCTTCTTGTCGATGCAGCAGGACTTTGGGATCGCTCCAAAGAAGGATCACTTTGTCTGCGTAGTCGACGCTCTTTGCAGGCGTGGGAAGCTCCGGGAAGCGGAGGAGCTCATCAATACCATGCCGTTTGAGCCAGACGACATCGCGTGGATGACTTTGCTGGGGGCCTGCCGGAGGAACGCCAGTGCCGAATGCGGCCAGCGAGCAGCCGAGCGGCTCGTGGAGATGAGCCCGGAGTTTCGAGCCGCGGCATGCGTGATGCTGTCCAACACCAACGTCGAAGCTGCAAACTCGGACGATGTTCTAGCCTCGTGCTGCTAGCTTTGACGGGCTCTCGTAGATGTTTGACAGCAGCACGTAAGGCCCGGAGATTTGAGGATGGCACTCGATGAGCTTCTCAGGAGCAGCAGCCGCAGTGTCGTTTGATCCGTTTTTGTGAATCCTGGAAGCGCTCAAGAGAGCAGTCCATGTAGCGGAGTCGGCATCAAACGGCATGTTTTCAATCAGCTCCTTGGCTTCCTCGACCTGTCCAGCTCTTCCGAGCAAATCGACCATGCAGATGTAGTGATCCAGTATCGGCATGATTCCATAGTCGGCAACGATCGAGATGAAGTTGCGGTGGCCGTCTTTGAGCAGGCCTCTGTGGCTAAAGCCCGCAAGAACGCTGATAAAAGTCACAGCGTTGAGCTCCACGCCACCGTTGCTCATCTCGCTCAGGAATCCAACCATGCTGCTGACATGCCCGTTGCGGGCATACGCCGTGAGCATGGCGTTCCACGACAGGAGGCTGCGATTCTTCATCTCCTCAAACACCACCCGCGCTCGTCTCAGGTTCCCGCACTTGCCATACATATGAACGAGCGCAGTCGCTACTGAAACCTCCGAAATGTCACCTGTTTCCAGCGCTTCACGGTGAACGATCCCTGCTTCTGCTGAATCCCCGGGCAAGCTCTCGAGCACACACACGAAGCTTATCTTGTCCGGCTGGAAACCTTCCAAGTCCATCTTCCTGAAGAGCTCCCAGGCCTCCAAGGCATGCCCTCCCTGGGCATATCCCGTGAGCATGACGTTCCAAGTTGCCTTGCTTCTCTCCACCATCTCATCAAAAACCGACCTTGCCCCGTCTAGAACACCCCCATTAACGTAAGCCGTCACCATTGCGTTCCATGCGATCACGTCCCGCTGAGGAAACCTGTCGAAGAGATACTTTGCCCGTTCCAAGTGTCCGTTCTCCGCATAAGCAACTAGCATTGTCGTCCAGGATACTACGTTCCTCTGTGGCATCCGGTTAAACGTCTTCCAAGCTTCCTGGACATTCCCAGTGTCGGCAAACACAGCCACCATCGTCGTCCAGGACACCAAGTCCTTCTCGGCCATGCCTTCGAAAACTCGCACCGCTCGATCCACCTCTAAGCATCTCCCGTACATGTGAACCAGCGCTGTTGCAACCAAGACGTGAAGCTCCAGGCCGGCGTCGATGATCTGAGCATGGACAAGCTGTCCCTGGGATAGAAACGCCACACTCGTACAGGCCGCGAGGATCGTCACAAACGTGATCTCGTCGCAGCGAAATCCTTCGAGCCTCATCTTCCTGTAGTAGCCGAAAACTTCCTGGTTATGCTGCCGCTGGACCGAGGCTGTGAGCACCAGATTCCACGAGACCACGTCCCGAGCGGGCAAGTCGTCGAAGAGTTTCTGTACCTGGAGCAATTCCCCGTTGTGGGCGAATGCCGCCAGTAGCAAGTTGTAGGAGAACTGGTTCGGAGACCGGATTCCTTGGAACACGAGCAGCGCCTCTTCGAGAAGCTTGCATCGCCCGTACATCTCTATCAGAAGATTTCTCAGGAACCTGTCCTGGTCGTAACCAGCTGCGGAGATAAGTCCGTGGATTCTCCTGGCTTCCGTGACGCTGTGGCCGCTACAGTGGCGGATAAGCGCTGCATAGGATTGTACCTGGTGGCTGTCCAGGACTAGAGCAGCCATTCATTCGAGAAAAAAAAAATGCCCCCCTGTGACAATTTGGAAGAGTTTTAGGATCATTAGTCTTAGTTCTAGATTTCAAGCAAGCTCAGCTTACCTGGGATAAATGCGGAATCCTCAAGCTGTCGAGTTCCATCACTTCACGACTCAGAGAAGAAGAAAATAAAAAACAAGGCGTACGTCCAGCGCAGCTTTGTCTATTGTTCTGGAATCTCCAGTAGTAGCGCCTGTGATTTTGCTCGCCAGAGAAGGCCAGCTCAAATGCGCATCCCAATCAAGGCCACCGAGTTACCTGGATTGAGGAGCGATCGAAATTTTAGCCAGCGCCTCCCGGATCGATCGAAATATCCATCGCCAGCGCCTCGCCATTGCCCCAACCTAAGACCAATTTAGGGCTTTTTTCGCGCCAAAATCTTCCCGTTTAAAATGGGGTGGGGGTTCGATTCCTGCGAGCCAGCGCCTATACATATTCTAGTTCTTGCATGGCTGGCCACACTGCAAAAGAACGCGTAGTCCGCCACCCAGATTCAGATGCACAAAGACAAGGACGAAAGTTTGGTTGGAGCTTGGGAATTTGGAAAGAAAGAAAGAAAAAAAGGGGATCTAAAGTGCTAGACCCATTATTGAGCAATCACCCCCTTTCCAAGACAAGAGCCACTGTGTTTTCGCGCATTATTTCCCGAGGCGGAAAGACACGAATGGCGCAAACATGACGACCACGCTCCCAAGTGCATGCTTACGTGGCGCGTGCCCTAACCCCACCCGCCAGTTGGCCTCCCGAGACTAGTCCTTGTTTAGGCTTGCGTCTCTCGTCAGGAATTCAGCCTTACAGGCGCAAGGGTCCTTTTGTTTGCAACTCGCCACCATTTTTCTCGGCTTTTCTGTCCTAGGGATCTAGGCTATACGTATTTCTTTTTGTTAGTAAATTATTTACTATTAGAAAATGTAATATTGTATTTGTTTTCTAGCTTATTTTCTTTATTTCCGGACGAATATGGACTTGCTTTGCTCCATGGGATCTCTAAGAAAGAGAGCTCCCAGCGAACCATCTACGAGAATTAGGGGGTGCGGAAATTAGGGCGCGCATGCTACTACGATAGGTTGTTGGGGGGCAAAGAGGATCATAGAGGATCATAGGCTCGTGCACTAACGACATAGTTGCTGCCTAGCACGTCCAAGATTTACACACAAGCTTTGGTATCAGGTATGAGCATTCATGAGAGTGTTAGTTGACTTTGCTATTGTAAATACTCTCATCTTAATTGCAATATATATGACGTAAATTATGCTTCGATCATGGCTATCGTTCATTCAGCTATGATTCATTCATATACTGTTTACAAGGTCTAGCAGTGTCAACCAAGAAGCATGAGACAGACAGATTCAAATATCCCAGCTATTGTTCCCATTCCTGTTATTTACACGGTCTTATCACCTTAGATTTTTACAGCACTCAAAATGGTAAGATTCTTTTATCCTCCACTTTCAGTTAGTTAATGAAAACCCACGATGCTCGGAATGTTCTTCTCCGTCAAGTGCGCAGGATATTCTGTCGGATTGAAGCATATTCTGGCGAGGTTCAGGGTTCTATGGCCGTTTCTAGCTTTTACCGGAGGTTAAGGAGCACTGCTTAGCGTGACCTTGTCCTGTAGCGCCTACTTGAGCGCTCTGTGTTCCTTGCTTCTTCTTGTTCTCTCCTTGATCGACTGCGCGGCGAGCGGCAGTGTGTTTGATCGATCGATCGAGGTATTTGCTGGATCGCAGCGCACTCCCTCCCAAATCTCTTGTCCAGCGCTGGCATTCTCGAAATATCGCCCGGCATTGCGAATCGCGCCCTGATCTAGGTCCCTTTCTTGCCCCGCAGGATCAAGACTGGCGTCACGGGATATGGCGCGCTAGCTCTCATCGATCTTTCTTGCTCCATCGGATGCCTCCGTCGATGATTATGGCCGCGCGCTAAGCTCTGCGACCGTCGATGCCATTCGCGATGCCTCGCTAGAGCGCTAGAGCTTCTCTCCGCAGATCGCATTTGTATCGAGGGGGTCCTCGGTCCTCGGTCCGGCAATGGCAATCTCTCGCTAAGCCGTGGTTTTCTTCTTTCTTTCCAGGATGCCTCGCTAAAAGCGACTAGCGAGCGTTCCGCTTGGATCAACTCCGGAGGAGGCCATAATATTTGTTCTTCGTCCTCCCGAGAAGAAAGAAAGAAGCCGCCATGTAAGTATGTAAACCCCTACCAAAGAGTGGCTTTTGGGAGTTAAAGGCTCGACCAGCGGTCTGGTAGCACTTGGTTTTCATTGCCAGCTGTTTACAACACAGAGAGGCATTCACTCCGAATAAACCGTGGCAGAAGGAAGAGAGAGAGAGATCACCGATCATCAATCACAGGTATGTTATTGATTTGCCATCCGCGTCTTTTTTCTCGTTTTTTGATCACTCCGTGTTTCTCTCTGTTTTTCTTTTCTTTTCTTTTTTTTTTGTTCTTCCAGCTCCATGCCAGAGCTCCATGCGTCGTTGCTACTCTTCCACAGAATTACTATATGAATTCCTGCGAAGTAAAAGCCTCGGAGAAGCTTCACTGGGCATCGCGGATCCCGTAAAATAAGCACACCAGCAAAGTCGTCGCGATTGCTGCTCCAGAGATCAACATGGGGGTGATGATGCGCTAAGTGCCAAGTCGCTGCTCAGATCCCAATTTCTTTTCAACGTGTTTACCATGGAGAGGGGAACTAATTTTTCTCTGGAGCGTATAATATCGTCCATCAAAGTCATGGATCGCTAAAGCTTCTTTTCGTTGCTCCCTACCGGGTTGCTACTGTTGCTCCATGCTGCTGCTCGAGCTTTCAGAGCTTCTTGCAACGACACCAACAAGATGTACGAAGTTCCACCTTTTGGAGCACTGTGCATCGCTGCGTCGAGATTTGGAATAAGGGGCAAAAGATATACTTCACAATATCAAGGTACATGGTTCTGATTCCTTATTCATAATGGTTCTTTCACTTTTTTCCTGATCTTCGTGCAGCGAGTTCTAACTTAATTTTCTCCGAGATACGAATAAGAGAATGGGGGCGCTAACAGAACCAATCCAGTTTTGCCCGTAGCCTGCATCTGATAAGCCTCCTCTTCTTCTTCATTTTCTTGACTTCCCGATACCATCATCACCACCTTTTGCTTCAAAATGGAAGAGACATTCGTTCCTTTCCGAGGAATTTTAAACGACGTCAAGGGGCGTATAAAATGTTACAGGCAGGACTGGATTGGCGGCTGGAATGCTGGCTACAGGTTTGCTCCATTGTAGTCTTGAGTTGATTGATGTGAGCGTTTCGCAATTTTTTGCTTTCCAGAATATTTGCTCCCACGACATACATCTTTTTCGCTTCGGCCATTCCAGTAATATCTTTTGGAGAGCAACTCGATAGAGATACAAGTTAGTTTTTGGATTTCATGACATCTTTTGACACCTCTTTTCGCCACGCTTTCAGATGGAATCTTAACTGCCGTGCAAACTCTTGCATCCACTTCTCTCTGTGGGCTCCTACACTCGATCATTGGAGGCCAACCTTTACTCATCCTTGGAGTTGCAGAACCAACAGTCATTATGTATACGTTTATGTATGACTTTGCAAAGAACAGGGACGATCTAGGCCCCAAGCTTTTCTTGGCCTGGACGGGATGGTAAGAGTATATCGAATTTTTGAGCTTTACTGATGCAGTTCGTGTTGGCAGGGTCTGCGTTTGGGTTGCAATTTTGCTGTTTCTCTTAGCAATCTTGGGGGCTTGTTCTATCATCAACAGGTTTACGAGAATTGCCGGAGAACTCTTTGGAATGCTCATTGCAGGCCTTTTCATGCAGCAAGCAATCAAGGCAAGTACGTTTCAGCGAGGTATTCTACTAAAAAACAACTCGGTGTTACAGGGTATTGTCGGGGAGTTTCGTATACCCAAGCGAGACGATCCTTCGTTGCAAGAGTTCAGCACGCCCTGGCGCTTTTCAAATGGCATGTTTGGCTTGGTACTTTCGTTCGGTCTGCTGCTTACAGGATTGAAAAGCAGGAAGGCAAGGTCCTGGCGCTATGGTGCTGGTACGCTCTTAGAAAATGAAGCCTTCAGCATTTCTAATTTCGGATTTACCATCTTACAGGCTGGATGCGTGGTTTAATAGCTGACTATGGACTTCCGCTCATGGTTCTCGTGTGGACTGGCATTTCTTATGCCGCCGCGAATGACACTCCAGCTGGGATTCCAAGACGTCTATACAGTCCGAATCCTTGGTCACATCGTGCTATGGCAAATTGGACAGTGATCAAGGTTCGTTGTAGTTTTGCTTGACTTTTCTGGCTTACTTATCTGATTCTCCGTACCCAGGAAATGCGGGATGTTCCTATTTTATACATCATAGGCGCGTTCATTCCAGCAACCATGATCGCAGTGCTCTATTATTTTGATCACAGTGTTGCTTCCCAGCTGGCTCAACAGAAGGAATTCAACTTGCGCAAGCCCTCTTCTTACCACTATGATCTGCTACTGCTAGGTGGAATGGTTATTATCTGTGGCCTGCTTGGAATACCACCTTCGAATGGAGTCATTCCGCAGTCTCCCATGCACACGAAGAGCCTAGCAACGCTAAAACACCAGGTCGGCCCAAGTTCGTCATTCTTGCGAGGCTAACTCAAAGCGAATGCTTGCAGATTAACCGCGATAAGCTAGTAAAGACGGCAAAGTCGAGCATCAATAACAACGAAACTCTGGGACAGCTTTACGGTAACTTACAATCTGCGTACAAGGAGATGGAGTCACCACTTCGGTTTCAGCCAGCATCATCTCGGGTACGTGGCCTTTTCAAACTGAAAACGTTGCCAATGACATAAGCTCTTAATTCTAGGTATTGAAAGAACTGAAAGAAGAAACTTCTCAATACACTTCGGCAGACTCGGTATTGTCAGGACTGCCAGTTGACACTAGCGTTTTCGACCCGGAAAAGGACGTCGATGACTTGCTCCCCGTGGAAGTGAAAGAGCAACGAGTTAGCAACCTTTTACAGTCTTTGCTTGTTGGAGGCTGCGTCGGTGCCATGCCACTGATCAAGAAAATCCCAACTTCAGTTTTATGGGGCTACTTTGCCGTCATGGCGATAGAGAGCTTGCCAGGAAACCAGTTCTGGGAGAGGATCTTGCTGCTCTTCACCGCACCCAGCCGCAGATTCAAGTACGTAAAACCCTTTTCTCTCTTTTTCGTTTCTTTTCCTTTCGTAGCGATTCTAACATCCACAAACATTCCCTGTCAGAGTCCTGGAGGACGTGCATGCCGCGTTCGTGGAGACAGTCCCATTCAAGACGATAATTATCTTCACACTGTTCCAGTTCGTATATCTCCTGGCCTGCTTTGGGATTACGTGGATCCCAATTGCCGGTGTCCTGTTCCCCTTGCTCATCATGCTCCTGGTGCCGATTCGCCAATACGTTCTACCAAAGTTCTTCAAGGCACACCACTTGCAAGAGCTGGACGCCGCCGAGTACGAAGAGGCCCCCGCAATGCCATACAACAGCGCAATGAGAGTAAGCTTGACTTCGTGATCTTCCTGGTGCTAATTACATTTTTTCTTCGTTTTTCGACGTACAGGAAGCCGAATCCACGATGGAAGTTTTGAGATCACCACGGCAGGATGTGATGAGATCGCCACTCCGGATGGAAGGAGGAGGATCACCGCTACCTTTATCGCCTGTGAGAGCGCGCTCTTCGCCGAAGCGTGTAGGTACCAGCGACGCAGAGGTCCTGGATGCGGTCACCACGAGAAGCCGTGTGGAATTCAAGCACCAGTACAGTCCATTACGAATGATACCAGACAGCTCCTCTCCCGGCTCTTAAGCTTGTAAGTTATCACCAGCATCCTGCTTCGCTTCTGGCAATTTAGATTTCTAGCCTTGGCTGCGAATAAGGCGTGCAGCAGCAGCACAACCCTTCCGAAAAAATGTCCCAGAAATGTTGTTAAAAGAGAGATCCAGCTCCTCCAGATGCTCGATCTGAAACGTTTGATTGTCAACTGACGATCTCTAAATATGATAAAGTTCGTCTCTTTAACCAAGATCGATCATGCATTGAGTAAATCTGTGTTGATAGAAAATTCAAAGCTTTTTGTAAAATAGTCGGCAAATATTTCAAATGAATAAAGTTTCCAGTTTAAGACAATATGTACGGATTGAGAACCCACCTGTACGGCGTGGTCAAGATGGATGAGTACAAAGGCTCGAGATTTACCGCAATGCCGAGCTGTTCTGCTCCAAGATCTCCATGAAGAACACACGAAGAAACCAAAAGCCTCCACGGCGCCAAGAATCTCGAATCCGGCACTCCACTGGTCCGCATATTCCCAGAGCGGGAATATTACCGGTGGTGCTCCACAGAGTGTACTCCACAACATCTTGAGCATTACCAAATATGTGTTTGATAGCCAGCCTACTAAGCAAGTATGATGCTCCAGAACTCCCAGTTACGAGATCCACTCGATAATATGCCCCAAAGGGAAAGCGTGCGTTAGTATGCTACAGTCACAGCATATGCCCAGGTTTCTTACGCCACCTTTCCTGGATAGAATGAGCTCGTAGCAGCGTCCATAATGGTTGCACCGTAAGTTGATGGACTTGGATGGATTGGGAGCTCTTTGATAAAGTTTAGAGAAGGGGGAGGGGGCACATTCTTATTGTGATCAATCACTTTCAGCAGAATATGCAAGATTTCTTCTTGTTATCATGGTAACAAGCATAGCCAATGTGAGTAGTGTCAAACCGTTGCTCAGCGCGAAGCCTCGCGTACTCAATCATCATGCAATCCACCTTGGTGATGGCTTGTCCCCCTTGCAACGGGCACCCCGACCGCATAAACATGTGACAGCGCTGCCGCGTGGACAGGAGACCCATTACCACGGGGTGAGCATTCGCGACCACCGCAAACTCGGCCATGGATCCCCTGCCTCTCGTCTTGCTCGCCGCCGCCGGCTCACTGTTAGCCTTCTGGAACCTTTCATCAGTGTAGATCTCTATCAGCTCGTAGACCTGATCTTCCTTTGCTTCCAGCAGCTTGCAAATCCTCGTCACGAACCCCTGGCTGGCTTTATCCACAACACTTCCGTCCCAGAAGATCGCGTCCCTCATCGCCTGGAGAGCTTGCTCGTAGCTCGCCATTCCCAGCTCACTCAGTGTGCCAGGAGATCGGATCCAAGCGTCCATCTCCCTCCACCTCTCCATGGTCACATCTTCCAGAAAATGGACGCTCGCCGCAGGTTTCCAGGGCAAGCGAAGCGGACAACGCTTCTTGAGCAGCACCTTGCCTGTGAAAGAAGACCAGAATTCAATCAAACTTTCCTGGGATGGATATGGATACTCACAGTCCCGGATCCAAGTCTCGCGATCGTGAGCCTCATCCAGGAAATCCCCGAGCACCACCTGCGAGAAAACAACGAAAACTTTAGCACTCGCTCTGAAAGTCAACACCTGGAACGTATGCAAAACTTACGTTAACCATCAACTTCACCACCGTATCCACTGAGCGCTCATCAACTTGGACGATCGGCTTACCATTGATACTCCCCAGCTCTTCCGCGTCCAACATCTGTGAGGTGGTGGATTCGTCCCACGCCACCGCACGGCACAGCAGCAAGAACGAGACGCTAAGCTCGGGGCCAAAAACCGCGGCAGCCGCGTGATGAAGATTGCGCTTCTCCTCCGCGACGTTACTTTCCAGTGTCTGCTTGACGTGCTCCACGAAATCCTTGCTCGTGGAGCAACTCAGGGACTGGAGCCGCGCGTGGTCCGTGGCACCTCTCTTGGTCCTCATCCAGGTGTGGACGAGGCGGCCGAGGAGCTCGCTCGCGTCGACGGGGTAGAAGGCTCGCTTCCACCGGCGGGAGCGATTGTAGGACCGCGAGTGGTCTCGAAACCAGTGGGCGAAGTGACCATGATTACCGTATACGTGATCATCACCAATCGTATCATGCGCAGCTATGAGCTCCTGCAAGGACAGAGAAAAAAAGAGTTTGGACACCACCTCTGATGGACTCACAGTACCTCGAGCATCTGGAGGGCACCAGGCAATACATTCGTCGACTTCCATTCGATCCTGACCAGGCTGCTGCTCAAGCTGTCGTGGATTTGTCTCAGCCTCGCTAAGCTAGCGTGATCTGGCCGAGACTCGTAATCGAAGTTGTCCAGGAGAAACAAGAAAAGCTTCTCCACTTGTTGTCCTTGGCCACCAGCGGTGGCGGTGCCGACCAGAGCTTGGGCCTCTAGTAGCGCGAGCCAAACGAGGGACTGCCGGTTGCGCCCGAGCTGAAGCAGCACCCAGCAGTAGACAAGCTCCAGCAAGATCTTGGTCACGTCCAAAAGATCCAGTAAGTCGCCTTGGGGTGTTTTGCCATGAAAAAAACGAGCCATCACGCTCGCAGATCCTGGATAAAAGGTTAACTCTCAAGAAAAGAAGAATCCGACTCTCCAAAACTTACGTGTTAGACGCGCCAGTGTCTCCTCTTGATCCTCCCACTCAGTCGTCGTAGCATCCGCGGCCATCAACTGGATGGATAGTAGAAGGCAAAAGAAATCAAACAAGATGAAGTTCCAAAACACTCACTCACCTCGTCCAGCTTGGACAAGACGTAGTTGCAGCACAGGAACTCGGAGCAAAGTGGCAAATCCTGGCGCCCATCGGTGGGAGGATCCTGCTGCTGGCGCTGGAAGAAATAAGCGTTGGCGATGAAGAGACGCAAGACGGCATCGGGCACCGGAGCGTGCAATATGTGGAAGATGACCGCGCTCCAGATGCTACACTTGAGCTCCGAGACCGTGCCGCCATGGATCCACCCCGCGTCGTCCAAGAACCACGACTCTGTGGGATGATCCACGATCCCATCCTCCTCAACCTCCAAGCCATGGCGATCGAAGAGGAGGCGGACAAGAGACATGACGCGCCTTCCCAGATTGCTGCGGAAGAAATGGGTGAGGCGAGCGCCCACCGCCGGATTCCACCCAGCTGCCCATCGCACCATCTCTATTCCCTACCTATTGCTACCTGCTTTATATATGCCACTATGTACGGATATCCCTTGTCCTTGCCCTTTCCGTACTGTCCCAAGCATATTCCCGGAGCGGGCATATGCCGATGCCGCGTCAATCTGCGCAGTGTTTACTCCACAACTGTAATGGGCATTGGCTGCTACGAGAACTTCCAGCTCGTCCATGCAAAGGCTTTACCCATAAGGGACAGCTTGTGTTGGAATGTCATACTCACCGCAAATGCCCAAGGCGGGGGAATGTCTCCTATGCCATAGAGGTTTTCTAGATAGAATCTCATGGAATTCTTTGATATCAGCATACTGTCGAGCCGGTCCTTCGTTATTTGAGAGAGGATCTCTTTTCTGAAAACACCATGATACGCCTAAGAAGTTGAGCCGATGGAGTGGAAGAACACAGTGTCCTTGACACAAGGATCCGCGCCTTCACCCAGTCCAGCGCGCGTGGGACTACTTCCATAGAATGCCGTCTGCTGCCCAGGAGAGAGCGCCAAGTCGAAAGCTCGGCACGAGCACAGGCCAGGAGATAGACGAACTGGAAGAGTGCGGCATGCACGTCCTCCAGAACCCTGCGGCAAGGAAAGTTTGTGAGGACGGACAACGGAAAACGAGCAAAAGGCTTTCACGTACTTGAATCTTCGGCTAAAGAGCGAACTGCCGGCAAACAGAAGCTTCTCTAATTCCCTTGATGACTGGCATGGCACCGACGCAGCCTCGATACACTTCGGCAAATTTGACACCAGTGTTTTTGATCCTGTAAAGAATGTCCATACTTGCTACCTGTGGAAGAGAAGGAGCAAAGAGCTAGCAACCTCTTACAGTCTCTGCTTGATTCAATACCTGGTCTCTTACCTGGAATTGTATGTCATTCTCAGCGTTTTTCAGTTTGGAAAGGCCATGTACCCGAGATGATGCTGGCTGAAACCGAAGTGGCGATTCCAATCTCCTTGTACGCTGATTGTAAGTTACCGTAATGCTGCCCCAGCTTTCGTTGTTATTGGTGACTGACTTTGCCGCCTTTACAGTTAATCTGCAAACATTCGTTTTGAGTTAGCCTCGCAAGAATGACGAACATGGACTGACCTGGTGTTTCATCGTTGCTAGGCTCTTCGAGACTGCAGGATGACTCCGTTTGAAGGTGGCATTCCAAGAGGAGCGCTTGTGCAAGTTTCTGTTGAGCAGCAACACTCCGATCAAAGTAAGAGAACTGCGATCAGGAATGAACGTGTATAAACAAATGATTTCCTGGGAACGGAAGAGATACAAAGAACCTTGATCTTGCCATACCACGATGTGACCAAGCATTCGGACTGCCTAGACGTCTTGGAGTCCCAGCTGCAACGTCATTCGCGTAAGAAATGCCAGTCCACAACCACGCATTAAGCCTGTAGATGATAAATTCGAAGGTAGAAAAAGCTCTGATAGCGCCAGGACCTAACAAACAAAAGTACCAGCTGCGTTCAGGTGCTTCAACAGCTCGGCGAAGAGCGCGCTCTCGTAGGGGATAAAGGGGCAGTGTTTCCATGCCTCCCCCTCTGCATGGTTAAATCTTCCAGTACAGGTTTCCAGGGCAAGCGAATCGGACAACACTATACCACCTTGCCTGTGAAAAACTTTTTGGCCAAGAAACAATCAAGCTTTCATGGGATGGCTATAGATACTCACAGTACCCTCGCGATCGTAATCCACCTGCGAAAAAACATAGGAAACTTTAGCACTCGCTCGAGCTGGAATGGATGGATTGAAAGCTTACATCAACTTCTCACTTCTTCCGGCTCCAAGCTCCGTGACGTGGTGGCTTTCTCCCACGCCATAGCACGGCACAGAAGCACGAACGAGACGCTAAACTCGGCAGCCAGCGTGAGTTTCCAGACAGGGACCGCGAGTGAGCCGCGAGTGAGCGGTGAGACAGCGTTATGAGCTCCTGCAAGACAAATACGTTCCACCGCCTGTGATCACAGTACCTACCTCGGGCAATACATTCGTCGACTTCCATTCGATCCTGACCAGGCTGCTGCTGCTGGCGCTGGAAGAAAGCGTTCCGGACGACCGTGCCGCCGGGAATTCCAAGAACCACGACCCTAACCAACAAGCCATGGCGATCCTTCCCAGATTGCTCCGCAGTGGCGAAATATCACACCTCCAGCGCTCGGCGCTCAGCGATCTCCTCCCGATCTCCTCCTGCGCTCCGCGACCTCCTCCAGCGCTCCGCGATCTCTGATCGCTGGCGCCGGCGACACTCCGATCGATCGAGACCTGCATTGGCAGGAAGAAGAAGAAATCTTTGCGATCGCCAAGGACGCCAAGGCGCAAACCCTAGCGGCAAGGATGAGCGGAAAAGCAAATACGAATTGAAAGAATCTTGGAATAGGCTAGACATTGGAGATAAAGTCATCGACACTGCCAAGCTCCATGGAACAATCCAAATTGCAGTGCTGCTCCATCCCTCCTCCTCCTGCGACAGGCGCTTCCATCGCTTTGGACAGCCCGCTTAAGTTCGCCACCTCGAGCGCTAGCGCTTGATCCAGCTCGCGCTCCATCGCCATCGGCTCCAGCTCGCACGTCATCGGCCCCAGCTCGCGCTCCATCGCCGCCGCCATCTCGCTCAGTGGCGCTTCCATTGCCGCCCGCGCCGCCGCTTCCATGGCCGCCTGCTCGCGCCTTTGTCCCGCGTCTCGCTCCCACGCTTCCAATGCCGCAAGCTCGATCGTCTCGGCCGCCAGCTCGTCGCGCCGCCGCCTCCGCGCCTCCATGTCTCGATCCCACACCTCGATGGCTGCCGCTTCCATGGCCGCCAGCTCGCGCCTTTGTGCCGCGTCTCGCTCCCACGCTTCCAATGCCGCAAGCTCGATCGTCTCGGCTGCCAGCTCGTCGCGTCGCCGCCTCCGCGCCTCCATGTCTCGATCCCACACCTCGATGGCTGCCGCTACCTCCATCGCCGCCGCTGCCAGTCGCGCCCGCGCCTCCATCGCGCGCATCCGCACCGCCTCTCGCGCTCGTTCTTCTATCACCTCCATCGCCGCCAGCTCTCGTTCCAGCTCCTGTGCGTGTACGTGTCCGAGAACTCCAGCTCCGGCCCTGGCGACAGCGATCTCGATCTCGAGAACAAGTCGCGCGTGGATGTAGGATTGGAATTGCCGCTGTTCTTCCACCGTGAGCAAGTCGAGAGCCATCATCCTCCTCCTCGCCGTGTACATTTTTGTCAAGGGCAAAGGAAGAGTTGACTATATAGTCAATGGCTGACGGGTGACGCATGACCGTTGAGCCCGTCAAGCCCGTCAAACTAGGGTTTGGCGCCCAGGGCGATACACTGCCGGATTCGAGATAAGCGAGGCGCTTCCAAGCTCCACTTGTAAGATATTTCGATTTGTTTGTTCCATGGTGCAAATCTCTTCCTTGGGCAGGCTGTGAAGGAAACCGCAGGATCACCTTTTTCTCTTTTTGTTGCAAGCAGGCAGCGTGAATGCTTTGCATTGCTAGCACACGACGAACATATATAAGGTTCTTCCCTCTCTAGTTCTGTGGTGTTTTGTATTCGCGTTTTGAGCTACTTCTTGTGTGTATTGCTCCCAGGACACGCTAGTAAACTCCTCAAACTCGTTCATTGAGCAAAAACTGCAGGTACGCCAGCCCCTTAGCAGTGATTCGATCAGAGGGGTTGTAATTGTTTTCGTGATGTTCTTGCAGGAGCTCATAACCGCGGCAAGAGTCCAGTGATGGTACAAGCAGCCTTAGTCATTCCGCTGGATGTTCACGCTCACAACGGGGATGTGAAGCACAAGCTCCATGATGCTGTGGCGTGACCACGGGGCTCAAGGCGCTCGTCCAAGTTGTAGAGCTGCAGACAACGATGGTTCTCTGTCGCTCGCCGAGAACGCATTGGCTGCCACGCTTGTGTAGCCAGCAGCTCCCCAGCTGGGCTTTTATGGTCAGCTTGGTGATCTTACCGTTCCCGAACGCGCTGTGAAGTGAGTCCTTCCATCTCGCTCTTGCCTCGAGTACTAAAGTCCTTAAATTCTTCTTTTGAAGCTGGCGCTCGAGGATTACATGGACGTCTCGCCTCTCAGACTGTGAACCTGCATTACCACCGACCAAGTCGAGCTTCCGAGCAGGCCAACGTTTGAGCAGCAAAGTCCAGGACCCTGGGTCACGACCAGAAGGCACACCTGCAGAATCTTGCAAAATGCATGAGCTCCATACGCTCCATACTTCCAAATTTTGCCTCCCATGCGGGCTCCAGGATCAAGTCACTGTGTTCTTCCTGAGAAGAGATCAAACTTCCATGTCTTTTAGCTTGTATTATCGCACAGGCTACAGTTTTTACCATCAGTCAATCGTTCTTTGAGGAGGCCAATATATAGACAGTCAGAGCTATGAACTTTAATTTTGTTGGAAGGAAAAGGATGGAACTTCTTTCTTTCTGCAGGCAAGCATAAGAAAAAAATTGAGTACAAACAATGAGGAAATGGCTTGGATGGTTGTAATGAACCATTTGTCTCATGAAGCAAACTATAAAGTATCATACTTGGAATTGAGTGTGTCTTCCACTCTTTCTTTTGAATAGATTCTTATTGAATGAGAGTGGAGTGGAGTAGTAAGATTGTATGACACAGAGGCATTGCCAAGTTTATAGTGTTGGAAACACTGGGCACACAAACTGCTTGTAATAATGGTGGTATTTCTGTGTTACTATATTTTCAGGTCCATCATTTTTCTGTTGATGTCATCGCTGCTTCAACACCCAGTTAAATATTCTTGGGAAATATACAAGCACCACCAGTAAATGGTGGTGACATTTCTAGTGGTGATTTTTTAGACCAAATTTTGTTACACTGAAATGTATGTCATGACAAAAAAAGTAAGAAAGAATGTATCTTTTGATTTGAAGTTGTTCATTACAAGTCATCAAAAGACATTGGTGGTAATTCTAGCATCAGTTGCACCACCATTTCATTTTGGTTAATTTGCATGGTGGAACTCACTCCCTTCTAGATATACTGTACTTTCTCTTTGGATGGCAATATGTGCTAGAGGCTTTTATAATCAAAAGCTGATGCTTACTTATGGACCAATCATTATGGTTAGTATAGAACACTTCTTAGGTATCCCAAAGGTAGTGAACACTTTCTATTAGAATATAGGAAATGAGAGCATTCTAGTACCAATAAGTAATGAGTGAATGAGGAGGCTGTGTTCCAAGTTATTATGGATATCACTAACATCATTTTAAGGATGAGACACTCTTTTGTTGAAAGGGTTAGCATTAGCATGGGTGATTGGGACAGAATCAAGTTTGAGCATTTCATTGCATGTTGTGAAACACAATATAATGTTGCAAATCTTCTACTCAAAAAATTCTACTTAAAAGCTAAAGATGATTGTGAGAAAAGTTTAATTTAATACTCTTAAAATTTGTAAATTATTTATTTCTTATATATAGGAATGTTCAAGTATTTTTAATTAGATTTTTAATTAAGTATTATGATATAGTTTTATGTTATAACCTTTATAGTTTATTGTCTATTTAAAATGTTTGGTAATGGAGTTTTAGTGTTATTGTTGATAATATAGTGAAGTTTTCATTTCTTTAAGTATTTCATTTCTTTAAGTAATTAAGTTAGAAAATAATAAATTTTATTTATTTTATTTAATTTTTGAAAATTTATTATAACTTAAACACAATAGAATGTGATTCTTTACCTCCCACACCACCATCTTTTGCTCCCGAGCTTCCATCATTGTCAACTGATGGCACATCCACGCCTCCATCTTTGGCAGTTAATGATGCATTAATATTAGGGGGATAGTTGTTATTAAATAAAGGTTTTGTGTTATCAAATAATTTATAGAAAAATAATATTTTAATAATTAATAATTGATTTTATATTAATTATTTTATAATAATTTATGTCTTTTATAAATAAAATATTATTACCTTTTTTTTGAGCTTAGAGGGCAATTTATAAAGTACTTACAAGATTCCCAAATGTTTAATGCATTTGAATACCTTAGCAATTTTAAATTTTGAATCTTAAAAATTTAACTTGTGGCTGTTCAAAAATGCCATACTCCTGCATGCTTCAAAGAAACCTTCTTCACAATAAAAAAATATTTTTTTCGTCATGAATCTATTACCAATGTTCTTCCACTTTGAAATTGCAGTGAAGTCAAGTCTTATGACTTCAAGCAAGGTAAGCCCTTTGAAACACTGCAATTAAGGGCAATAGTTGTTATTAAATAAAGGTTTTGTGTTATCAAATAATTTATAAAAAAAATTTTAATAATTAATAATTAATTTTATATTAATTATTTTATAATAATTTATGTCTTTTATAAATCAAATATTATTACCTGGATATGATGAAGGTTAAGGTCGCGATCCTTCGTGTTAAACGACAGTTGGCCACTGTTCACATAGGCTATGCCTGTTACCACGGTAACAAGAACAGATGTTAAGATGAAAGATCAAAATAAGAATATGCCACTTTCTTTCAACGAGGTTTTCGAGAAAGGTGATGTTTCATGTCTGTTTCTCTCCTTGTTCTTGAAAGTTCTCTGGAAGGTCGTGAAGTCCTTGGTCACCACTTTACACAAGCTCGCGATGATCTTCTAAGATGAATTCGAAGCAGCCAAGAAATAAAGATGGCAAGCAGGCTCTCTTAGTTTGTTGTCCACAGTACATTGATCACGAGTTTCTTATGGAAAGCTTGGAACTGTTTGAGGAGGAAAGCTCTCTGTATATTTTGAAAAACCTTAGTGACAAGCAATGCATACTGGCTAAAATTCTTTTTTCCCATTTTCCCTTCTCTTGATCGATCTTGGTTAGCGAAAACCAAAGAGACGAACTTCAGCAAGACATGGATCCGGGACTGTGTAAAGAGAAATTTGTCTTTCGCTTTGGTCCTGCAGAGCGGGCTTGTCAGAGAAAATCTTAGACAACGAATGTTTTGCTCGAGGTAGGACGCCGGACTTCCACACGAGGCATGAGAAGCTCCGAGTTTTCTCGACTCCGGCGTGAGACACTCCCAGTTCAGCCAGGCTTTACGATGTGCATTCATTGATTTGCAAGGTGGTGCTCAAAAAGCGTACAGCACACTGAGTGGCGAGTTACGAGCAAGGCAATGAGGACGCGATCGAGGGCAAGCTTCTGGTCACAGGTCGAGCTCATAGAGATTGACTGGATTTGTGAAATTTACAGTGGAGAGTCTCTTGGCGGCGATGGCGGCGTGGATCTTGGTCCTCGCAGCTCGCTCACCAGCGTGGGATGGATCTTGGAGCTTCATTTTATTCAGTAGCTGCAGGTGACCACCAAAGAATAAATCTATTCTATTTCTTCAAGAATGCTTGCTTGGAAAAGACCAGCGATTCCCACGCAATATTGGAGTGGAAACAAGAAAAAGAGATCATCTCGTGGGATCGCCACACTCGACGCTTCTCGACTTGATCAACCAATCTCACATATGAGCTTCAAGCGCTTTTGGCGATTGGGGCTCGATTGCCTGCGCCTAGTGTGGGAAATTTGACTATAATCAGATCAGATTGTGGATCAAGCAGCAGTCTTTTTGAGCTTGCTGGCGCTGTTGCTCTAGCAACACAGTCAACGACCACCACTTCCATGCCGGCCCTCCAATTTCCAGGGAGAAATCCAGCATGCTGTGGGGAGTAGGAGATCGTCCAAGTTGAAAATGGTGAGGTGGTGATACGTAAGCCTTCCATATTCCAGTTCTTGCCTTAGCGAGTGTTAAAGTTTCCTTTGTGTTGGTTTTTTACCTGGATGTGGCTCACGATCGCGAGACTTGGACTGTGAGTATAAAGAGAAATCTTTAGTCCATCTTGATTGTTTCTTGTGATTGTTTTTCACATGATTGTTTCTTGATTGTTTTTCACAGGCAAGGTGTTGCTCAACAAGTGTTGTCCAATTCGCTTGCCATGGAGGAGATGGACGCATGGATCCGGTGTCCTAGTGCCCTGAAAATGGCGAGTTACGCGGTAAAGTACGCAATCTTCCGGAACGCAAGTCAGGAGTTTGTGGAGCAAAGAATGAGCTTATAACATTGATGACAGTCACATGGTAAAGATCATGGTAACAAGATATTCTGGTTTAATGGAGGCCGTCGGATTGGCAAGATGCCAAACGGGCCTAAAGATCGCAAGAAGGTGAAAACTTGTAATCGTCGCCACCATCGCTGGCTCAGTGAAATGTCCACTTGCATGGCTTCTCAGCTCCAACCGAGCTCTTGCTAGAAGAACGATGTTTCGTCTTGCTGCTACGACAAGGAAGTGATGGATCAAGCTCAGCATCGGAGAAATAAGATCGCCCCTTTCTTAGAAGAAGAACCATGTGTACTTGTAAACGCTTGGCCAGGAATCTGAAAATGAAGCGATTCTTGAGGCCACACGAGAAAACGAGGTCACCTCAGCAAACCGAGTGATCGCCACACTCTACGCTTCTAGCCATGCGCAATTGCAAGAAGCGTGATGATCAAGGGAATTGAGATAAGTGTCTATCGTCTCAGGGTGATCAGGCAGTCTTCTGACCTTGCTTGCGCTCCCGATCCGCAGCACGGGCGAATAGGCACAAGGGAGGGAGCCGAAAGATCCTCCCGATCATTTTGTGGCAAACCCCAGCGGCACCACTGCCATGGAGCTCACCGTCAGCCCTTTCCTCGCAACGCAAGAAAGGGCCACGAGTGAGAGACAATGTGGGCTTATATGGCCTGGATGAATCTTCTGGAAGAAAGAGGAAATGGGAGAACACAGGATAGCTTAGCTTGCTAGCGCTCCCGATCCCTAACACTGGCAATGAAGAACGCAAGAAATCCAGATTGGCAACTTGGGTGATCCTTTGGCCCTCTTCTGCTTCAAAACTCCCCTGTGCAAATCAAACTTTAACCGATGGCATAGTTGATCATAATTGCCGGCAAGGCAAGGGAATCTGTCAATCAAAAGGAGAGTTCAGGAAATCATAAAGCGGAAGAAGGCCAAGGATCACTTCACTTATGCATTTGAGCAGCCAGAAAAGAAAAGGAAAAGCATTGCTGAGAAATGAGAATTACGCCCCTTTCAAGAATTCACCTCAGTGCTAGTAGAAGGCGAAAGCAGAGGAAGAATCCTGATTCTTTAGAAGCCTGCCATGTCTAAACCCGAGACCTCCTCACCTCACGCTACATTGGATTGGAAACAAGACAAACATGTCATCTTGGGGGGACGACGCTTCTCGTTCTTGATCAGCCAATCTCACATCGTGATGATCCATGGCTTTGGCGATTGAGGCCCGATCTGAGTCTTGCTCGCGAGCTAGTGAGGAGGAGAAGAAATTTGGCTATAAGATCAGAGAATGTCAAGGAGCAAAGGTCGTGGATCAGGCAGCGCAGCCAATGCAGCCAACTGCATCCCAAAAAATCATAGCCTGGATGGAATCTTGTGGAAGCTGGATAAGAGAAAGAGGAACTTGATGGAACACCAATGCAAGGCTTGAAATTTTAGGGCTAATGACGACCGTTGACTTTTCCCATGGGCCTATTAGAATTCTGGCTAACAATTAGTGGTATCACTTAGCAATGTGCCCATGATCGATCAAGAAATTTGCAAATGTTGGCTAGCTAAATTCGATCAAGCCTGCTAAAACTAGAAAATCTCCGACTCTAGTCAAACCTGGGCCTATGGAAAAGTGACCATCAAAAGCCCGTACGCCCGCTTATTGTCCGTAGAGCACAGAAACATTTCTCCCCTCTCTCCTTTTTGCGCTTGCGCTAGGACGAGGAGCTAGGGTTTATGGCGGCAGGCGATCGCCCGCAAATTGTCCAGCAGCCTCCGCCGCAGCTCGGTAAGACGAATCGATCGAGCGCTGTGCTGTTGTGTGTCGCATTCTCCGATTGGCAGTGATTCCTGCGATTGGAATGCTTCTCTCGAGCTGAAACGCATGGGGCTTTCTCTATCGCTCATTCTCCTCCTCCCTGGTTGTAGATTTGAGGCAGATTGTCCGCGATGCACAGTCGCGATGGCTGCGCCCTCCGGAAATTTGCGAGGTTTTACGAAGCTATACTGAGATTAACTTGAAGACCAGCCCGGCTCCGCCTTATCAGCCTCCAAGTAAGCTCGTGCTTGACTCTTTCCAGTGAGCATCAAGGTTTTCCGTCTGTCAGGTGGAAGCCTGTTCCTGTTCGATCGCAAAGCGCTGCGGTACTTTCGAAAGGATGGTCACAACTGGCGGAAGAAGAAAGATGGGAAAACTGTGAAGGAAGCGCATGAGCGTCTAAAGGTAGTGGCTTCTACGTGTGTCTTTGGTGCTTGATTTTTCTTTGTGTTCCTGTCGCAGGTAGGCAGCGTCAATGCTTTGCATTGCTACTATGCTCACGGGGAAGAGAACATGAACTTCCAGCGTCGTAGTTACTGGCTACTGGAAGGGTATGTCTCGCGTAGAATTGTTAATGTAGAAGAAGGAATGAAAGTGTTATCTTTTCTGCAGAGCACACGAACATATTGTCCTCGTTCACTATCTCGAGGCGCTCCAGGTTTTTCATCTCTGCCTTCGATACTGGAGACTAAGATGGTGTTTGTATTCAGGGAAACAGGTCAAGTGTCTTTCGGCTGCACGACCAATCTCTCGACCGGCAGCTCGCAAAACAAGCTGCGAACTCTCAGAGTCCAGAAGGGAATTCTCCGAACTCATTAGATGCGGATGGTGCGAATTCTGGGGATGAGGCTGATGATGTCCAAATCATTGACATGGACAGACAGAGAAGGCCAGTCTCCTTGATGGATCAGCTGTCAAGCAGTGATCAAAATCAGAAGCGGCAAACAAACCAAACCGTGACTAGAACTCTAAGACAGTCAAAGGACCGACAAGATCAGTCACAAACCGTGAACGCACAACCTTTGAGCAAAACTGATATCAATGAATTACTTGGGATTTCAGGTACGCCACTGTTGTCTCGCAGGAAACATTTGATCCATGTTTTTGCAGACAACGATGGTAACATAGATTATGACATGGCTGGCTGGGACAACTTGGTTGACATTCAGCAACACCCTGAAAACTCAAGGGACAGTAGTCTCAAGTTTGCAACTTGGGAAGAGGTGTTTGAACAAAGCAAGGGACCCGACACTAGTGAAAAGTACTTGGACTCGCTGGTAGAACCACCTGCTATTCCCGAACCGAGGGTGGCCAAAGAGGATATGGCAGCAAAATCCGACAGCCCTTTGAGTTTTGTTGGAGACTCTCACCATGTAACGCTTCAGGCTTTAGTTCCTGCCATCTCTTCTGACTTTTATTGTGTTGCAGGCCGCCCAACTAAATCACTTATCTTCGCTTGATAGTTTCGGACGGTGGGTCATGAACGAGATTGCGGTTGATCCCGTGTCTGATTCCGACGCATTGTTGTCATCCACTTTCGAGGACAAAGGAGGAGAACTCGACACAGACTTTTCCTCTTCCTACGAACAATCGATGCCGAGCATTCAGATGTCGGTTCAGAAATTTAAAATTGTTGATTTTTCACCGGACTGGGCAGACGCTTACTCGGAAACAAAGGTGAGAATTTGTGTATTCCTCGTTTTCTTATTTTTCTCGTAAATTTTCCAGGTTCTTGTTACTGGCCAGTTTTTGGTGTCACCTCATCAACATAATTGGTGCTGCATGTTCGGTGAAGTTGAAGCGCGGGCAGAAATACTTGGGAGCAATGTCCTCCGTTGTATGTGCCCTCCACACCCGGCTGGAAATGTTCCATTCTACATCACCTGCAACGATAGAACAGCATGCAGTGAAATCAGGGACTTCGAGTTCCGTGGAAAGGCACAGACTGCTCCTTCTACGACTGAGAAGGAGTTGAGGCCGGAGGATCTCCTGCTTCAGTTGAAGTTCGTTCGCATGCTATGCTCCGACGAGGTTCCGAGACAAGCAGTAAACGAGGCGATCGCCAACAAAATTCGCAACTCCTTCAAGAAGGGCTTGGAACAGTGGGATGACATTGCAGCTGCTATAAAGGACAAGTCCAGGACAACTCACGAGATCAAAGATAGCATTTTCGACGTCTTCTCTCGGCTCAAGTTGCAAGAATGGCTTATAAGACGTGCCGGACAAGATGGAAAGGGGCCTTCCGTGTGTGACAAAGAAGGACAGGGAATGATACACATCGTCTCAGCTCTTGGCTTCGACTGGGCGATCCCTCCATTGCTAGCAGCGGGTGTCCTCGTAAACTTTCGGGACTTGCATGGCTGGACGGCCTTGCATTGGGCTGCGCACTTTGGAAGGTAAGCGTAGTTTCGATTTCGCATCTTATGGTTCTTGGTTCTTCTGTTTGGCAGGGAGGATGTTATTCTAGCGCTCATTGGAGCCAAAGCAGTGCCAGAGCTTCTTACCGATCCAACTCCGGCATATCCAAATGGCCAAACAGCGGCGGATGTAGCCTCGTGCCGTGGCTATCCTGGAATTGCGGGCTACTTGGCGGAAGCATCTCTGGAACACCATCTATCGGTACTGACGCTAAAGGACGGGAGCCTGAACGAGATACATTATACAAATGCTAGTCTGGCTGGAGAAAGCGCCGCGAGCCGTCTGCTTTCCGGAGAAGACGTCCAATGTGTCACCGACGATACTTTTCTGAAACAGTCGCTCTCGGCAGTCCGGCGGGCTACGCAAGCTGCTGCGCTCATCCAGTCGGCGTTCCGGGAGTTTACTTTCCGTAGGAAGCAAGAGGAAGAAGAAGCTAGACTGCAAGACATCAACAGCGACAACGTAGAGTACCTCATGGCTGCAGAGAAGATCCAGAAAGCTTACCGTGGCCACAAGATCAAGAAGCAAAACTCGGCTGCCACGAAGATCCAGTCCAAGTTTCGGGGGTGGAAAGGCCGGCACGAGTTCTTGCAAACGCGCCAGAGAATCATAAAGATCCAGGTAAGTTTTTCTTGCTTTCTCGCTTGCTCGCTGCTTTTCGATCTCCTTTTCCGTGATCTCATAACTGAAAGTTTTCTTTGTTTTTGGTGGCAGGCTATTGTACGAGGATACCAGGCTCGTCGGCAATACAGGAAGATCTTGTGGTCCGTGGGAGTTTTGGAGAAGGTTGTGTTGCGTTGGCACAGAGGACGTCACGGTCTCCGGGGATTCCAGGCGGAGGAGAAGATGGTGGAAGGAGACGAAGTAGCCGCCGACGATGAGTTTCTCCAAGAGGGAAGGAAACAAAAGGAGCACGTAATCGAATCGGCAGTCCAGCGCGTCCAGGACATGGTTCACGATCCAGAGGCGAGAGCACAGTACGCGAGAATGCGAGCAGTCTCTCAGCAAATCCAGGTACTAGAAAAAACTTTCAAGCTTTTCTTCTCTTTTTCTTCATGGATTTCAAGCGTTTTTTTTTTGTTTTGTTTTGTTTTGTTTTTCACAGACTAAACAGGACGATGACTTCCAAAATCTAAAGCCATTAGCGAGTGTGTGAATTTTGGATTGTACATTGTATACAAAAGAGAATAGATGCAAAAGAACAAATGGAGTGCCTATTAATCCAGTTTAATATCGTCATTAGGGTAAACGTCGTGCTTTGGTTAGAGATTTACACGTGGCGCTTCAGAAACCTGCCACGTGGATTGTTGGGGACATTAGATTTCTAGTCTGGTAGCTTTGCGTGAAACTGGGCTGATTCTTGGAAGGGCGATGGCGAAAGGCAGCCAGACCGTGCGTGTGGATCAATCCTTTCGAGGAAGAGCTTGTGGAGGAGGGAGGGAGGAGGCGATCATCTGGTGATCGCAAATCGCAATGCGGCGCATGGATTTCTTGCTACTGTCGCTGTGGATCGCATGGCAATCTTGTCTTGTTTGCGCAATTCCGATCGGCGCGCGGCCGCACAGCGCATCGATCGTGGATTTTGGGGCCATCGGCGACGGCGTGACGCTCAACACGCTCGCGTTCCAGAATGCGATGTTCTACCTCAGCTCCATCACGGCGACCGACAAAGGCGGCGCCATGCTCTACGTCCCGGAAGGCCGCTGGCTCACTGGCAGCTTCAACCTCACCAGCCATTTCACGCTCTATCTGGAGCGAGGAGCGGTGATTCTTGGTTCTCAGGTATGGCCGATCGACATCTTTCTTTCTTGAAATCCCAGCTATGGCCTCTCTTTCTTGCATTCTTGTCTTGGATCTCGAGCATTCCTCGCTCCTTTCTTGAAATTCCTTCCCTTCTTGAGATTTCTTCCCGATTTCTTCCAAGAAACGGTGGATTGGATGATTGCATGCCAGGATCCATCGCAGTGGCCAATTATTGATCCATTGCCATCGTATGGAAGAGGGCGTGAGCTTCCCGGCGGTAGGCACATCAGCCTCGTCCACGGAGAGAATTTGGAAGACGTCGTCATCACGGGTACGCTCTTTTCCTCTTTTCCGCTGGCCACACCGGCTTTTTCCTTTGTTCTTTCTTTTGTTCTAGGCGAGAATGGAACCATCGATGGCCAAGGAGCCAAATGGTGGCGATGGTCCAAGCTCGGGCTTCTCAATCACACCAGAGGCCATCTCGTGGAGTTCGTCAGCTCGACCAACATCATCATCTCGAACGTTACGCTTGTGAATTCCCCGTTCTGGACGCTCCATCCAGTCTACTGCACGTAAGCTTTCCTGGATTCTCAATATTTTTGAGCGTTTCTTTCTTTGCAGCAACGTCCTGATCCAGGGAGTGACAATCCTCGCGCCGCAGGACTCGCCCAACACCGATGGCATCGATCCAGGTAAAGAAATCCTTCCAAAGTTTCTCAAACTTTCTTCCCTGGATCTCTCTCAAAACTTTGGTGGCTCTTCCAAGAGTTCTTCCAGATTCCAGCTCCAACGTTTGCATCCAGGACTGCTACATCAGCAACGGAGACGACATGATCGCCATCAAGAGCGGCTGGGACGAGTACGGCATCGCTTACGGCCAGCCCAGCTCCAACATCCATATCCGTCGAGTCACCGGACAGACCAAGCGGGGGGCCGCCATAGCCATCGGAAGCGAGACCTCGGGTGGCATAGAGAACGTCCTGGTGGAAGACCTCGTCGCAGTGAGCACCAAGTCGGGAATTTCCATCCGGACTGGCGTCGGCAGGGGCGCCTACATCCGAAACGTTGTCCTCTCCAGCATCACCTTGCTCGACATCCAGACCGCCATCACCATCTCCGGCTTCTCCAGCGAGCACCCGGACAACGGTTTCAACGCCACCGCTTTCCCAGTCGTAGAAAAGGTGACGGTCAGGGGAGTCACGGGCAACACACTGGACAGGCCCGGACGAATTCTGGGAATCCCGGAGGTGCCTTTCAGAGATATCTGCTTGGAGGACATAGCGCTGGATGCTACCACCGGACTGACCGCCTGGAAGTGCACGGACGTGGAGGGCTACTCGTCCTCGGTGACACCAAAGATATGCTCGCAACTGTCCGAGAACAACACCCCCGATGCCCGCCCGTTCCAGCTCCCAGGTACGTTCTGGTAAGAGCTTCCAACTTCTTTGGTTCCGGAAATTCTCTAAACTGTTGGGCTTCGTTTGATCTCGCAGCGATCCCATGGTGCTGACAACTTCTAGCGGCAAAGTCGCTCTCCGGGGAAACGTACTAGAGTTCCTGCTCGCGATTGCCACGCACGCTTTGTTATAGCAAAGCGGAAAAAAAAAAAAAAAACACAGGTACATTACCTCCTAGATACCATTCTTTTCAGCGAAGAGGTTTCAATCCAAGCTTGGCTCGGAGCTTGTTGGCCTCCACGATCTCGGGGTCCTCTTCCGGTTTTGTGTCTTTCTTCTTCTTCTTATCGCTCTCGGGTGGCCGCTGTTCGTCCTTTCGCCTTGAGCTGTCGTCCCTTCGCTCCCTGCGTTCCCTGCTTCTACTCCGGCTCCTACGTCTGCGATCTCTATCCCTGTCCCGGTCTCTATCTCCGTCCCTCTCCCTCCTTCGGTAGTAATCTCTATACAAGTCCCGCTCTCGCTCTCGGTCCCTGTCCCTGTAATCTCTGTCCCGGTCCCTATCTCGATCTCTGCGGTCCCTGTGTCTATCCCGGTCCTCGGACTCCCTATCCCTGTGATCACGGTCTCTTTCTCTTTCTCTTTCACGATCGTTTTCCAATGCCTGCAAAGGACGAAGTTATAGTCAGTTGGAGTGCTAGACGAGTAGAAAGTTAATACCTTGTCTTCGTTTGTAAGCTCGAGTTCTCCTTCTTCCTCGTCCTTCTCCTCTTCTTCCTCAAAGTCGTCCTCTAGAGCGCTCTTCCGCGGCTCCAGCTGATTGTTCTGCTCGAGCACCGATCTGTGAATCGACAAACTTGTATGACTACGTGAATGAAAATAATAAAGGAATCGTTGAGACACTACCTCTTGGGAACTCGAGGAAGAGTGATATCGCAGCAGTAGTCCGTGGTTAAGAGCTGGTCGATAAACTCATCGACATGGGAGAGGAAGAAACCTGGAGCAAAGATCACAGTTCAATCCATGGAGGAAGAACAAACAAAAGAAAAGAAATGTTTGCTCTTACTTCCATCAGCGCTCCTCTGCCTGATCTTGCGATAGTCATTGTAGAGAGGCTCCAAGTATTGATACACGTCCGTGGCTTTGCCCACGAGTCGCAAGTAGAACGCTCCCAAAACTCTCACATACCTGGGCGTCGAACGAAAGGATCGTCAAGAGCGCGAAGAACATAGAAAGAGGGCGAAGAACTCACTTGTAGTCTTGGTTCTTGATAAACTCCACGACGATCTCCTTCTCGGGCTGGATTTGGAGCATCTTGAGAGTGAGGCACATGAACGGCGTCGCCTTCCTGTTCCCGCCGTAAGTTCCTCCAATGTGATCCAGCTCCATCGCCTTGTCTACCAGGGTTTCGGCTGCGCGCAACCAAAGATTTCTAGTTCTCGCGAAATCCACAGCTCTAGCTACGAATTTACCTGTCAGCGCGAAGCACTGCTCCTTCCAGAACGAGCTCTGGTGGATCTTCTCGCGCAAAATCTTCTCCACCAGGTTCTGTGGATTGGTGCCGTGGACGCTCTTGGCCGCCGGGTCCGTGCGGTTCGCCATGGCGACGATAAACCCTAAAATCCGACGTGGGTGAAATTAAGCTGAGGTGTACTGGTGACGTAGCTAGATAAACATGACCTGGAGGGAATATCTCGAGGGCATATTTTTATTTTGCCCTTTGTGCTCGGGAGGCGAGGGCGCCGGCGCCGTTGAGAAGAGGTGCGTTCTCTTGATTCTTCGCGGACGATCTGGACGAGATCGGATGAGAGGAAGGATTTGTCTGAGGCGCTTGAGCGTTTTCCAGGGTTTTCGCGAGGAGCATTGCGACGATGCCGCGGGTTTCGGCTGTGCTGTCCCCAACGGCGAAGATGAGTAGAACGGAGCTCGCAGCGGTAATGAGCTGGGGGACTACTTTCCTTGTCACTGGCTTTTGGCTGATCCAGGTACGTTCTTTACATTTCTCTCTTTCTTTTTTGTGCTCGTTGTTTTTCTTAAGTTGCTTGATGATCAAAGAATGGTTACCTCTTGTGCTGCATTGCATGCTTTCGTGATTGCGAATTCTTGGAGCATTTGTTTCGCATTGTAGTTGTATCTCTACATTTTCTTTTTTCTACTCGCTTCTTCGTTATTTTTCTTAAAGCTGTTCAGAGAATCCTCTTGTGCTGCATTGCATGCTTTCGAGATTGCGAATTCTTGTGGTTTATCTTTACATTTTCTTTTTTGTCTGCTCTTATTTTTCTTAAGTTGTTGATGATCAAAGAGTCATTGCATGCTTTCGTGATTGAGTTTTTGGTTTCAATACTTCTCGCTAACTTGGCTTCTCGCATTCGCAGCCGTATGACTGGTTGAAGGAGAAATTTTCCAGGCAACCTGCTGAGGGACAAGCCGCTGGATCTTAAGACTCTATCATCTACCTACAAAACTCGTCCATAAGCATTCGTTTTCAATTTTTTTTCTTGAATAACATGGGACTGAGTTTTTATTTTCCTGTTTAGTTTTGATACGCAGTTTTTCTCCTGCCACGTAAGCGAAGGGTGGCGCCTGTGAAAAACCTCTTGGTTTTCTTCCGACGCTTGTGCTTGCCTGGTTTCGTGCTTGTTTTACAGCGTTGGAGATGTCTCAAAAACCCGCCAAATTCCTCCGCATGAATCCGCTTCAATGGCTTAGTCCAACAGCCAAGGCAAGGGGTGAAGAGTATAAGTCTGCCGTGCAATGGAGCGCTACCACTGTTATGACTGGAATCTGGCTTATTCAGGTTCGTAACGCTTGCTTTTTGCCGTTTAAAGTTCTCTTATATTTCGCTTCTGGTATTTTACAGCCGTGGGATTGGTTACATGATAAGCTTTCGGGAAAGAAACCGACCGAGGAGAAGACATAGTATCAAGCTACATGTTTCGTGAACCTCTGGCTTCTCTATTCAATAACATCGCGAGTGTCCCAGTTTGTTCTCTCTCCTTTCTCTCTGTTGCCTGATACTTGCAGTGTGGAGTCGTCAGCATTCCAGGTGAAGAGCTTCTTTCTCTTTCGTCATTTTTGTTTTCGTGAAACTGACTATTTGCTTCTTCAGAAATCCTCTTCATCTATAGATAGCTAGCCGGACAAAGAGCGGTAGCAGGATCGCCATTGTGAAGAGCGTTACCAAAACGTTGCAATGTGGATGCCGGCTGGGCTCTACCTCGGGGTTAATTATACGGGTCACGCGGCTCCACATTCCCCGTTTGACCGTGATGTTGGTGACGATCTTCCCGCATATCTCACACCTCCTGCATCATCCAGGTTCGTTTTTCTTTTCCTGCTCAATCAAGACGTGTTTGGTTTACGAACCTGTTCCCTCGGATTTGAAACCAGGCCTCCGCGCACCGACGATGGGCAACTGCTAGATCATCTTTGCACACGCAAGCCAGCTCCATGAGCTCGCCACGAACTTCCGGGGATCCCAACTGGCAGACTCTACACACCAGTTCGTGATTGTGCTGCTGCTGGGCCGAGCTTGCTGCTGTGGCTATCTCTTGGGGCTTGGAGGAATCGTAGGAACACGACGGCTGCTGCTCTTGGACAGTGATAATTACAACAACGGGGGAAGAACTTTCAGCGCTCTCTTTCGGGCTTCTCTCGTTCTCGTGGTGAAGAGACTCTTCCTTGATTAACACCAAGACCTGTGGTGGCAGTGGCGGGGAAGCTTGTGCTTGTGGAGCTACCGCGTCTTCCATGAGGAGATACTCCTGGACCGAGAGACTGAGAGAAGAATCCTTTCCTGTAGTTTGTCGTTCTAACGTTGTCTTGATTGTTATAGAGAAGTTTCACCTAATAGGTAAAGGGATGGGACTGTGGCTTTTGTCATTGGAGAAATCACTAGTCACGCGGTTTGAATGGCAGGTACTAAGAAAGCTTGGATTTAGTTTCTCTGTTTTGATTATTTCGTTTGGTCTTTGTTTTATCAGCAACACGAAAGGCAAGGCTTGCATTGAATCGAGAAAAACTTTAGACAAGGATCTGTACATCGCAGCTGCCATGCGGGGCAAAAAATGAAAATTCTTTTCTTCTCTTCACGACATTTCTATTGATACGTTGGCGGTGCCGGTGCTGGTCACACTGATATAAACAGCTTAAGCTTTTCGCATTCCTGGAAATCGTCAAACACGCAAAGAGTGTTGGGATATCATTTACTGGTAATTGCTTCATGGAAAGATCTCCGTTTTCTCACTCTTTTTTTCTTTCCAGGTACCTTGCGGAGGTTCTTGAGCGTTTCCTGGATGAGATTCACTTTGGCAGTCTCCTCGTCTTGGTATTTCTGGAGTGTCGCTAGATTGTCTTGATTCTCTCGCATCTCAGACAGCACCCGGTGATACTCGAGATTCACCTGGAGGTATTTTCACTACTCTCATCTTTACCTTTCATCTTTTTCATTTTTCCCATTCGAAGTACCTTCTCAAGACGAACTTTTGTCTCTTGCTCTCGGCTTTCCAGCTGCACCACCTTTCTCTGCGCGTCGGCAATGTCTCTGGCGAGCTTCTGGAGAAGAAAGCGAAAGAAGAGTCAAAAAGGAAGAGCACGGAGGCCCTGGAGCAAGCATCGTCTCACGGCCTTGGCTTCGACGCTGTTGGCCAGAGCGCACTGCAAGATCCTGCTGCGAGTCTCAGCTTGCCGCAGCTTCTCGCCATACTGCGATTGAGCACCGGGATCAAAACTTTGGTGGGCCGGGGCGGGATTCTTCTGCAGCGCGACGAAGTTATTGATGAGCTTCTGCAGCGACAGGTTGAGCGCCTGCGAGACGATCCTCTGCCGGCAATACGGGCACGTCTTCTTGCGGTTCGTCACCGTGTGGATCTCAAGGCACTGCCCAAGACGAAGAACGAGAAGATCGCCATTGATGATCCGATTGGTGCAAACCTTTGCGCAGAAGGTGTGGCCGCACGGGTAGAGCAGGATGGGCGAGTACGTGGGCGATTTCATGAGCTCGAAGCAAATGGGACATGTGTTGCTCTCGATCTCCGCCGCCAAAGAGCTTTGCCCGCGAAAAGCGAGAGAGAAAATCGATCAGGGCGGGGAGAAATGGATTGATTGGATCGATACCAGGCAATGGCGGGGGCATCGTGGCGTAGCAGCGGCCATGGAGCGTCGGAATCGGCCATGTCTTGGTCGCCATAGCTTCGTCCAACTGCCGAAACGATTGATCCCGGTAGACATAGAATATGCCCCAATTTAAATTCCAGTAGTCCTGGGTTCGATATCGAGAAGGGGCTTTTAGTTTTTTCCTGGGAAAAGAGTTTCTTACGAAAGAATGTGAGTGTGATTCTCCATATGATTCTCCGCCCTTGAGTGACAGTTCTTCAGGGAAGATGGCGACCAAAGTCTCTTCGTGACGCATGCACCCGGGACCTATGCTGGGAATCTCATTCACACTTCGATCTGAGATGCTATCCATACACGGGAGGCTCGTCTCAGTCTCCGAATTTTCCTAGCTGCCTACTACCTCATTCTCACTGGAGGTCTGCCACCTTACTGGGATCTCTGTCCAGGATTGGAAGGACTCCTATTGTGCTGTGCTGACACTTCTTGGTGATTAGGCTACTGCTCTCGTGACTTATCATCCTCAAGTGCTTGAGCATCTGTGAACAATTCCTCCAGAAGCTTGGGTAGACTTTATAAGCTTGTACATGTTGAGATTACGTAAACAGTCCAGGAAGTAATCCTATCCTTCTCCACCTCCTTCATATAGTCACTTAGAACTTGGCCAAACACTATTGATATACTCATCCCCTTTCCTCTGTTGCAAATGCCACAAGTCACACTGAGCATGTGACATATGACGCAAAACTTGAGAAACTTATGAATGCATAAACTGGATACGAGGGTATTTATCTAGAGAAAGAACGGCTCTTTAACCCCTCCTTGATCATAACCGATGCACGTCTCTTAATCACTTTGCTCACCTCCCCTTGACTGCTCAAAGGACTCAGCTGTCCCAACACTCCCCCTCAGCCGAGAGCTCTTCCTCAAATCTGACCTGGTTCCATGCCTAGCATTTTTTATTTGTCTAGGGGCTTGGTGAGAATGTTTGCTACCCTGCCTTCACACTTGTCTCCTTGCAATGTGATCCCGGATCATGTGGAAGCGAGCGTCAATGTGCTTAAGTGTCCCATGGAGAACTGGATTGTGGGCTAGCTGGACACAAGTTGTATTGTTGTTGAGAAGTCGAGTTGGTGCTTGTTATGTCTCTCCTAGGTCCTCAAGAAGCCTTCTAGGCCAAAGAGCTTCTTTTGTAGCAGCAGCTTTACAAGTTGTAATAGCCATTAGTTGGGACATTTCCCGTTTTCCTTGTCACCAAGTAATCGGCATTAGCAAACCCCTATGTAAGCAGTTCCTCATGTCGATATTTCTGTTAGGTACCTCGGCCGCGCGGACGCTGCCTTTTTCCGTCTTGTCCAGAGATTGGTGGCATGGGTCTAAAGTCTTGCATAGCATACGAGAATGGAAGTGAAAGAGAAACAAATAAACAAGATCTTCCTTTCTTACGAAAATTATCTCGCCTGTTCTTCGTGAGCTCCCCACAATCCTTAAAGCTGCGTGCCCTCAGAATTTTTGTTTGTCATCTGGTAGCTCTTGCTTCTGCACCCAGCAAATGGCTAGATTCACTTGGGCATCCGGAATTCGAAATACCACAAACCAACTTTTCAGTTGGATACGGATGAGTGACCTACACTCACACGAGGAACCAAAAGGGTGTGTGGCACTAGGAGAGAATACATCAGCCATGCTGCCTACTGCAAGGTACTCCTGCGAGTAAGAAGTTGAGCCCTCATGGTTGTCCAAACCAAGTTGGTGTCCCCTAGAAAGCAAAATGGCAATAGGCCACACCCTGAAGAGCGTTCACTGACCAGGATATCACCCTGGTAAAGAGCAAGTCCAGAACACGGCCGAGATATTTGGTGTCATCAATAGATCTTGTATATTGTTTCTTGTGTTGATAATTTCTTGCTAGCTACTTTTTCCCTGGGATTTCAATCTCTGGTGTGGATGTTCAAGGAAACTTAATCATGTTGGAGTTGTCATTACTCTTGGCCACATGTCTGTCACACAAGCCCGTGCAATCTTCAACAAGCTGATTGCTCAATCTGCAAGTGACTTGTTTTATAAGTGCATGTGAAAAACTCATCTTGATGAATAGGAGAAGATCAGAGGCCTTGTTGGAAAGGCAATTGTTTCAGAGAGACTAAAGATCATGGCCAATCTGGAAGAAATAGAAAGCTGGCTTGGCCTTCTCACACACAGTATGTAATTCATGTTGCAGTAGGAAATCTAAGATGGTTTTAGACACTGAGTAGGAGTTGAGAAATGCATCTTCATATAGCTTCTTTGCCATGTCAGCAATTAGTAAATGATTGGCGAGTCCAAGCCAAAGGACAATTGCTGTTGCTATTGCTCCTGCTGCTAGAATTCACAATTAGATCCTAAAGATTTTTGTTGTGGATAAGATGATAAGTCTTTCTTCTTTGTTTTCCTTGAATCATTCATGTAAATTCTAATAAATTCGAGATGTGAGTTTCTTGGTCCCAAGAAGTGGAACTTACAAAAGTTTTTCATTCATGCCTACTTGCAGGAAACTATCATGCAGACTGGGGCTAAAGGCCTCAATTGCCAAAATCTGTCTTGAGAGATGCTTTTTAGTGAGCAGAGGCATGAGATATATTATTCAGAAAGAGCTCATGCACTATATATATTCTTGAAACAACTCAAGTTTTGACCATATACGGCCATGGAGAAAAAATGTGCAAACTACAACACCAACATTGCAAGAAGCAAGCACAAAAGAAAGAAAGCACATGTTTTAGTTATACTCAAAACTATACCAAATATAGTACGTTTAAGATTGATGAAAATAATAATAGACAAAATGTGATAAAAAATATTAAAACTAAAATTATATAAAAAAAAATTAGATACATAATATCTAGAAAATTTAGATACAATAGTAGACAATCAGGCAAACCAAATGTTGCTGCAATACAATTTTTTGTAATTATTCATTAAAATATTTATTTTAGAAATACTTTTAAAATTAAATATATATTATTCTAGCTTACTTCGTATTATATAAAAAATACTATAAAAAATTACATATAAAATGTGTTAATTTAATATACTTATACTCCAAATGGAATTACTTGAAAAGAAAAGTTTAAAGATAACATAGACTATTTTAGAAATAATAGAAATGTGAGGTCCAAGTGTACGGCTATGATACCGTATACTTGGACCTCACAGAGAGAATATTATTAATTATAATTAATTATAAATATTAAATAAAAATATATATTGATATTAATCTATAATAATTTTTCAAAAACTAAATTAATATATACTATGAAAATAACAATATTAGCAATATGTTTGTGAATCCCATTTTGGTTTAATTACTGGATGCCTTGAAAAAACTTTTTGATGAGATTCATAAAGAACTAAATTACAGTCATCTTGAAGTGAAAGAAATCTTATAAAATAACTATGAGATTCATCAAAATTAATTTTAGGAGACCAAACTATATATTTATTTTCAGAATATAACACTATATGACCATCATCTTCTATAACAAATAAACAATTTTTATAACTTTGAAACCCTTTATACCATTTTAAAACATTTTGTATATATAATGATAAAATACAATTAAAATGCAAATATAATAAAGCTTTTTTATTTGGTGATGTTAAAAATTGGGTAGGCCTAAGAGCATTAGCTGGCATATTACTAATTAGTGTTGTTATTTTTATTTCACAATCAGTCAATGTATCTAATTTATTGATATTTTGATATTGATATAGTAAATTTTGTCGAAAATTCTTTAAAAGATATTCAACACAATAAAAACCAATGACAGCTCGAAAATAATTTGCACGTAATCTTCTTATATCATAACGATATAAATTTAATATATAATTTAAACGATATTTAACATTATCACCATGATCTTGTTCATAATCATTTGGACTTAAAGCACATGTATCAAATTTTTTTCCCTTGGAATCGTAAACCCATAGTTGATTTGTAATAGTTAATAGACCATGAGTGTTATCTTGTATAGTATATTCAAATTGCATACCTTGACCTTTAGGTAAAGGTTCTGAAGAGATATTATTAATCATTAATTCCATTGCATATAAAATTAAATCAATACTATCAATTTCCATGGCATTTGGGCCATTATATGTATAAGAGTTTAAAACTGTACTAATGCTCAAGAATAGCGAAAATAGAAATATATAATAATTCATATTAAATATCTAATATTTAAAAACTTTATTTGGTATTTTTATTTAAATACTTAGAAATACTGTTTTTGAGGAATTTATTAGTTTAATCTAGTAAAAAAAATTGTTTTAATGTAAGAGAATTAACTAAGTTTTATTATTAAGCAATATAATAAGCTAAGATTAAACCAATATAAAATATTATTATTTGTAAATAAGTGTGTCTAACTTCTTGCAGAAGCAGAATTGTGGGATTATTACTTCTTTTACTTTTAGTCTTTTAGGTTAAAGACAACCTCTATTTGTTGCATTGCTACTTGTTTTAAATTCCACTCATGTTTCTCTTCTATTTTCCACGTCTTCAATTGCTGAACACAAACCTAATACTTCTCTCTACATGTTTGCATATATCCATGGCTGCAAGTAACATTAGTAAGGTGACCAATTCTCTTTACCATCACTTCCTTGCACAGGAATTAGATGAAGTAGTGCTTTTACCCATAGTTCAAAATTCAGAAGTATAAAGCAAAGCAAGGCATCTTACTTCACTAAGCTATTTAAACTAGATTAGAAATAATATAACACATTACATTATGAGTTCATACAAATCCAAATGTGCAATTAGGATTCATTAGCTTTTAAAACTAAAGTTATTATCTATACTCAATATAAAAGGTGTAAG